TCCACCTCAAAAACGTTGAATTATTCCAGAAGCCTTAAAAGCAGAAAAAACATGGCCACCGTTAGCTGCTCGCCAAGTTTGGCTGACATTCGTGCTCTTCAAGCGGACAATCTGGACCGTCTTCGTGACTCTCTTCAACAAATCAACATTCGTGATGTTGTCCCACTGCTTGTGGCCAGAAATGTGCTCAGATCGTATGAGATGGGAGCTCTTTATGCTAAGGTGAGGGATTCAAAGGTTCAAAAGATATAAATAGAAAATCAGAGGTTTTGTTTCCGGAATCATGAGTCTAGGACCACTGGGAGCCGAGATACAGCCATTTGAGCTTTTAGGAGCTAGAGACGCAGACGACGAGACCTCTACGTTGATTTTTTGACGTGTTTTTTGACATAAAAACAAGTTTTGTCAATCGCGGAAGGGCATTCGGGTGATTTTTAAGGTTAGGGTATTGTAAACTAAGTTACGGAAAACTAGGGGCATACATGAGAGGATTCGGGAAATTTGAGCAGTTTTTCAAATCGCGAGCATATATGAACGATTCAAAAAAGGTTTTGAGCTATTTTCGAGGTCTCGAAAATTAAAGAGCGATTTTTCAGCTCGCATTTTGATGCCAGTTATTTCTCGGGCTCGTTTTACCCCCTGAAATATTATTATTGAACTAAATTAGAGACACAATAATAATTTTCGCAACGTCAAAAATCCCAAAATTCGCTCATGTATATTTGGGGAAATTGACGAATTTCAGGATTAATTGTCTGCAAAACTACAGTAGTCCTCTGGGATGAGATCCGATTGCGTCAAACATTTCTTAATTTCCGAAAATCGCATCTCCTCTGCGGTTTGTCGTGAAATCCGCTTAAATGTTCACAGATTTGTTGTAGCTGAAATCTCGTAAAATCTCCTGCAATCTCCTAGATCTCTATCTCGACACAACTTTCATTTTGTATCTTTGCCAGACGCTGCCAAAATATATATTCATAGTCTAGACTTCTTTTATCACCGCCCTTTCACTTTTTGCTCAATTCGTCTCTACGACGGTCCCAAAGTGAAAACTAGATTCAATATACATTTTGAAAATTAAAAAACATTTCAAAACGAAAGTGGGAATGATCATAAAAATCTCTTTTTGTGCACTTTACATCATTGTCCTCTCTCGTTAGCAGGTGTGAAACACCCGTTAATTTGCCCTTTCTCGTCCAGCTCGGGTTATTTTACTCCTCCCATTTGACACAACGAACGCTTCATTTTTCTAGGACAGTTCCTTTTGGTATCCTCTTCTTTAGATTGAGAGTAGTCTCTCTGGTTGTTAGTTGGTTTTCAAACATTCCCTAGGGACTCTTATTTTCCCACACTCACCATCAATCACGTGAGATTGAGGTGTGTATCTATGGTAGCATGTATGTGCGGTTTCTGGAGAGCCAAAGAGGCATAACAACGTCTCATTTACTCAATCATCTAGTCGTTTGAATTTTAGGGATAACATGCACGTGACTCAAATTGCTAGATATAGGAATATTACAGCAATAGTTTGAGCGCCTGACAAACCCCTCGTACAATTTCCATTTTCATTTTAATCCTTTTCCAGATGGACACAGTAGTGGTGTTAGCACTAGTTGTGCTAACCTCCGTCTTCATTTTATCACTGCTCATCCTTGTGATCACATGCCAACGTAGACGGAAATCCCGCCGTTCGAAGTCAAAGGTAACAGCTAAATCAACCGGGCATTCTGGAAAACCTGTTTCAGATACTAATACCATTCGAAAAGCCACCAAATCGATTCTCACGAAACGCTGTCGCCGTTGATAGCGTCGATGAAATCGAAACAATGGAACATCTCGGGGAACTTCTTGAAGAGCTGCTCGATAAGAATCCATGGTTATACGAAGCCCGTGGTATCATGCAACACGTAGTGGCAATCCTCACAATCACAAAGACCATTACCGAGAAACTCTCTGATGTTCAACTGCCAACAACGCCTTCACCGTTCCATGATGCTATCAACATGGCTATGCGTAACATCTATCCACGTTTTGACGATCTTGTGGAAAGCATTTCGGCTCAGCCAATCGATATGCGACTTCTGGAAGCGAGAGCTCTTTCGTTAGGAACCGTTTGTTGGTCGTTGTATCTGCCATACACCCTTCTGGATGCCCAGAACAAAGCTCTTATCCAGACGCCATTGAATGAGATGAACGCTCATCTGGTGACAATCAGAACGGCTGCTCATCTTGTTGCCATGGCTGATAAGGGTGCTGAAGATGTAAGTTACAGGAAGAATTGGATTTTGAGCTTTGGAGTATTGTAACATTTTTCAGAAGCTCGACATCGTTGATCTTAAAGATCATCTGATGCGAATGCGCAGACAGATTCGTGGGGATATGCTGCTCGAAGATGAAGATGACTACGAAACCGAGGACGATTTGCACAATGATATCGCAAATATGGCAGACCACGATGACGAAGAAGAAGAACACCATGATCCAGACGGATTGGTGGACAAAACCATTTTGGGAAGTCTCCACGATCATGAAAAAATGCCTTTGGTGGAATCAGAGGCAATAATTGATATGATCGAGTTGAGAAGAGGTTGTGAATGTTTCATAAATGTTAATCAATGCAATAACCCATTTTCAGTCCCAGAACAACTACAAAAAAGCAATGGTGTTCCGGATGGAAATCACAAACACACTCCTATTCATCATATGCATCATCATCATCATCACCATCCACATCACATGACAAATGGATCACTGAATACCGTTGAAGAGATCAATGAGGATGATCATCACGGAGAAGGGTAGGTTGAGTTCAAATATTTCTAGAAATAGTAACACATGAAAAACAACACTGATTAATTTCGGATGAAGAGTATTATGTCGTTAGCAGGGATGTGATTTTACGTTTACGAACTTTACGAATTTTACGGATTTTAAGGTTTTTTTGGTACTCGTAAAATTTTACGAGTGTCGTAAAATTGAATCCGTAAATTTCGTAAAAACTGGATGAGTGTTTTTCACCATTTTTGTTCAGAACTGACAGTATTCCGGTTCATTTTCATGTTCTTGATCTAGTTTTAAGTTGTATTTCTGCTCACATCTCATTTTTAAGCATGAATTTGCTTCATTTTCAGAATATTTTTTTCCAAATTTGAATGCTTTTTTTCACAAGTTAGCATTTTTTAAGGAAAAAAATTAGAAAATTGTTGAAACCCCATAGAAGCATTCGGTCTTACGATTTTCAACATTTGCGGACCATTTGCCAATTGCTTAATAATAAAACTGCAGTTTTTTTCCATTTCTATTGAAGATTCAGTTTTTTACGGATTTTACGATTTTACGAGCTTGTAATTCGTAAAATTTTACGCACATCCCTGGTCGTTAGTAAGCTCGGTTTGATATTTTGACCACTTTTAAACCGATTTTAAAAGAAAATCAGAGAATGAAGAAATGCGAATTTCAGAACGTCGACGTCATGCTCATCCTCATCCACATCGTCAGCGTCTTCAACTTCCGCCCACCCAATCGATCCAAAATCCTGACGCCAAAAGCTGTGACGTTTCAGTTCAGAAACTCACAGCAATCCTATGTTTCGATTCGTTTTTTTCTGTATGTGTCGATGACCTAGACAGTATCGTACTCACCATGGTGCAATAGTTTATATGACGATTTTATGTATATACTAACTTTTCCTGTTTTTTATTCAAATCCCAATTCCTCTCTGTTCTCTTATCTTAAGTTTCCCCATACTGTTGTGTGTTTTTCTTCCCTTCCTTTCATTTCGTTGCTCTATTTTTCCCCAATCCCAATGTTACTTTCATTTGTTATCTCTTCTCGTTTACGCACCAGGACCTCTTGTTTTATACCGAATCGCGGGCACACAGTTATAGATGATGACTTATATCCTTACCTAATCGAGTACACACGTTTTTTCTGAACCAAATACCTCCTGGACCCAAACCCATAATCTGTGTTGTGCCATTGAAAGAAGACATACAAAACGATGTGAAAAATTTCTCAATTTTTTTATGTCGTCCTGTCTGCTCTCTCTCTCTTTGTACTCCACGTTAACCATCTACCTCTCCCCGCTCTCTCTCTCTTATTCACCCACCATCCTCACATATATTTCACTATAATTGTAATACAAAACGCTAGAAACACGGGCTTTGATTTCTTGTAGTATTATATACGACGATTCATCTAATATTTTAACTTTTCACTTAATTATGCCCACTGTTCTCACATTGTTTTTGCTGTTACCACTGATGCATATTCAAAAGTTTTCCATGTTCCAGCTTTTCGATCTCATTTCTATTTTTTTTTTTGAATGACTGGAGCATGGAAAGCTGAAAAGAGCATTTGGGATTTTCCGATTTCTTAGATGCTATTCTTCTCAATCCCAAATTCTTTTTTCATTGCTTTCTCTGTCTCCCCCAAATTCTCACACACTTCAGGTTCTTTCTTTTTCCCCGTAATTTTGTAAAATATCCACCAAAAATCATCTGTACCCCGTCCCGATTTACGGTGCCGGCAATGCTGGTACGGTAACACACGGCTTTTCATGCATCGGGTACAATACTTTTCATGTTATCTAAACTTTCACAAGCTATGTACATTTTTGACCCAAATCAGCATGCCCTTCCACAGTTCTCTCTCAAACTGTATTTCTTCTTATTTTTTCTTCCTTCCAAATGCAAGACATTCTGGAAGAGCTAATGTGTATCGCAACGATCAAAACATAGATTTTAAAAAAATCAAATAAAAATCACTGTTTCTTTTTTGTTCGAACTGGTGCTCTGGAATACTGGAGTGAAATGTGTTCTCATCTATTTTTCAAAAAAAAATTGGAAAAAAGAAACAACGGAAAACATTTCAGAAGTAAAATGGAAAGTCTGGAAACTGCTCTAAAACTAGCAGCGGCATCGGTAAGTGATGACTCAGAATGGAATCTGGAATCTAGTGCCGCGGAAATTTCAGAAACCAGCGGAGCACATCCGTAATGTGTGTTTGGTAGCTCATGTTGACCATGGAAAAACGAGTTTCGCAGATTCGCTTGTTTCAGCCAATGCTGTTATTTCTAGTTAGTTACCCCGCCCAGCTTCTCGGTTCAATTGTTTCCTTGTTCCAGGTCGAATGGCAGGTAAACTACGCTATATGGATAGCAGAGAAGATGAACAAACTCGTGGAATTACGATGAAATCGAGTGGAATCAGCTTGCTCTGTGAACCACTTCTTATCAATCTTATCGATAGCCCTGGACATGTGGATTTCTCTGGAGAAGTGACATCTGCTCTGATCCTGTCCGACATTGCCCTTCTCCTTGTTGATGTAATTGAAGGTATTTGCTCACAAACAGAAGCTCTGATTCGACAAGTCATCCGAAATGGACAGGTTATGATTTTGGTTATCAACAAAATCGATCGGCTGAGAGTAGAATTGAAGATGTCGTCAAGCGAAGCATATCAACACATGGCTCGTTTAATTGAAGGCGTCAACAGTTGTATCAGTCAAGTTCTCGGAGGAATCGTTTTAGAAGATGATACGTGGGGAAATATTGAAGAAGCAGAAGAAAAATTGCATTTTGATCCAGCAAAAGGCAATGTAATTTTCTCATCAGCTCTTCATTCGTACGCCTTCGGATGCGAAGATTTTGCCACGTTGGCAGCCGAGAAAATGAAGGTGGAGAAGTCGATATTACTACCTGCAATGTTTGGAGATTTTTGGATTGATTCAACTGGAACCATTCGAGATTCTGCTGCTGCTAAAAACAAGGCAACTATGTTTGAGCGAATAGTTCTGGAACCTCTTTGGAAGCTTCACGATCTCGGTTTAGTAGATAATGACGTCACATTATTGTCAGAAGCTGCCAAGAAACTCGGGTTCACTTTGAAGTCGCGTAGAGCAAATGAGGCATTTGACGAATTGATGAGAAGTTGGTTACCACTCCCGAAAGCCAGTTTCCGTGCTGTTGCTCGAGCTCCGAATGTTCGATCCACATTCGAGACACAACATCGTTTGGATCATTTAACCGGACATCGTTTAGATCATCCATTGAGACCGTTTGTATTGGGATGCGATTCTACACGAATGACGATAGTTTTTGTTGTAAAACTCCTTCAAACTGAAGACAAAAGTTTGAATTCGCGAAGAGCAATTTGCCGTATTCTCAGTGGAACTCTTCGGAAGGGCGACAAATTGTTTGTCCTTCAGCAGCATGTGAGTTTTTTAATTGGCGGTTTCTAATGTGAAATTTAATTAAGCCATTTTAGGGTAGCAGTGAAGTCACTTCAACGAAGATCGACCGAATTTCTATTCTCCGTGGTCGTGACACCATTCCTACGGATACAGTAACATCTGGAATGGTGTGTGCCATTGATGCGGAAATCCTTTTGCAAAACACAACGCTCTGCAGCGAAAGTGATTATCCATGTCTTAAAATTGGATCTCAAACTGGCGAAGCTCTGGTCAGGGTGTCAGTTAGCACTCAGCAATTGGATGATATGGTTGAGTTGAGAGAAAAACTGAAATTACTTGCACTTTTGGATACCAGCTTAAAAGTTATGGAGCTTGAAAATGGAGAGCTAGCGATGGTTACAGCCGGAGAAGTTCATCTACAGAAATGTATCAAGGATTTGAACGATTTGGGTCTAGTGGATCTGGATGTTTCTGAACCGATTGTTCCATTCATGGAGACTGTAATGGAAGATGTAAATCTCTCGGCACCACAAATCACGGAACAAGAAACCGACTGCCGCATTCGAGATGCTCTTCATATCAAACTTCGCATAGCTCCTCTTGGAAGCACAGTAATAGAGGTGAGTCCTAGATGAAGGATTCAAATTTTCAATCTAAACTCGATTTCAGTTCCTTGGTAAAAACGCTATCCTACTCTTTGCAATTCGTCGTGGTGAAGCAGATCAGACGGAAGTAGATGACTTCCAAAGGAAACTAACTCTGGTTTGCACAGAGTCTTTACCAACGCTGAAAGGAACATGGTGGTACCGAAAACCAAAAGATCTTATTGAAACAATGATCGAACGTATTTGGGCGTTTGGGCCTGATAGAGCCAGATCCAATATTCTATTCAACAATGTCGAAAGTTACGATAGAGATCTAATTTGGAGAAAAACCGAATTCGGTGTGAGACGATACGACCAAGCACTTGTTGGTGGATTCGAATTGTTCTGCAACTCTGGACCACTTTGTAATGAAATCATGCATGGAGTCGCTGTAATTGTGGAAGAATGGACTGTGGATGAGGAGGATGGTGCCATCGGAGGACAAATGATGTCAGCAATGAAGGCAACATGCTCAGCAGCTGCGAAAAAGTTGGCTCTTCGACTGGTAGCTGCCATGTACAAGTGTACCGTAACCACTGCTAGTCAGGCGTTGGGAAAAGTGCATGCGGTTTTGTCACAAAGGAAATCCAAGGTTGGTGAGGGATCATGGATCAGTTTTGGGTGGTCTGTTCTATCACCTGTATAAACACTACAAAATATGAGTGGGGAAAAAATTAAGAGCTTTATTTGGAAATGAAATTAAACAAAAAGTGCACGTTCAAATTTATATAATTTCAGGTCCTTTCCGAAGATATCAATGAGGCAACGAATCTCTTCGAAGTGGTATCACTGATGCCTGTTGTTGAGTCATTCTCATTCTGTGATCAACTTCGGAAGTTCACTTCTGGAATGGCATCTGCTCAGCTTCAATTCTCGCACTGGCAAGTGATTGATGAAGATCCCTACTGGACACCGACAACGTTGGAAGAAGTAGAAGAGTTCGGATTGAAAGGAGACAGTCCGAATCATGCCCGAGGATACATGGATGCTGTTAAAAGGCGTAAAGGATTGCCGACTGAAGATCTGATTGTGGAGTCTGCGGAGAAGCAGAGAAATTTGAAAAAAAATAAATAATTTATAGATTTTTATTTTACAGAGTTTCTTTCGATGATTTACTGTATCCTGTTCCAGTTTTTTGTTAACCTTGTTTTGTTAATTTGTTGTTTTTAATTCTGTTTTCGAGTATTCAGTAAAACAATGTTCTCTTGCTCTGTTCATTTGTAATGTTTCCGGAAGTGTGCTCATGTCACATGGCATACCTGAAACGTTTCTAAACCTTCATTCTCTCTTTATTCGCACTGTTTTATTTACGCGTAGCGGCAGGAGTAGAGCGTAGCGAGAGATTCGAGAGTCAGCGGCACTCTCTTTTTCCTTTTTCTGTGTCAGTGTCTGCGCCTCTACCGTTATCGATTGTCAACGTGCTGGCTGTCTCTTCTTCTGATGTTTTCTGCTTCCACTTTTTCGCTATTCCTACTTGTTCCATATTTCTTGTCATGTTTGACCAGCGACTCTCGTTTTCTCTCTTTTTTGTCCTTACTGCTTGCCAACGTTAGGCTTCTTCTTCTTTTTTCTTCTTCTCTTTTCCCTTTTCGTGTCATCCTTCTTCTTCTTCTGCTACGCGTTCCCTTCTTCTTCTTCTTCTTGTTTGTCAGTTCATTCAGTGTCAAAAGTTCATAGATGCCCATTAATGACTCAAGTCCCAATTAGCCACCATCTTGAGAACAAAGTACGCATCGCTAGCAAAGAATATAGGGGCATCGAACAATTCTCCAACTACATCGTGTAGTCTCAAAGATGGGGTTATTCCTTTATGAAAGACTTCCGCTATAATCAGTCCGTTAGTTTACATTTCCGTCTCTTTCTCCTCTCATTTTGATCGACATGGATTACGAATCGGTGCTCCATGATGCTCCAAATATAGAAGAAATGGACGAAGAGATGGCTGAAGTGGATGATAGTGAGTTATTCGTTTTTATATCCTTATTGGATTTGGTGAAAAAAATCACGAGGCGTTGCTCATTCAAAATTTACGGCGTCTCGGGTAGCTGGTTGGAAGAGGAAGCTTTTTGGTTGTGGGAGATTGAATCACCAAAAAGTTCAAGTTCCCAGAATGTTCTCAAGTCTAGATCATCTATATTTGCACTTTCGGCTCAAAAGGCTTTGCATTTTTTTCGGTCTCCTAATAAAATCAATCTACGGATCTAACCTTTTTCCCCCGTCTTTCCATTTTTATTCCATTCGCTCCATCGAGAAAGATACGGATCGCCTGGACGCATTCGAAGACGACGACGACACAGTATTGTCCATTTTATGCGATCCATCCATTGCCCCTGGATGATCGAGAAGACTTTAGATTTAGTAGATCCTAGGTTCCGTGTGAGAAGATCCGATTTTTGTTCAATTAATTGAAGTTTTGAAAAAATGAAAAGTTCTTTCTGATTCGTTTTTTCTGTTTGCTCTCACAAATAGGTGATCTTTTTTTTGGTTATTCTCTCGTCATTCCGTTCAACAAAAATACTTCCCCTGTAGTTCCTTTTATAACTGACCACCTTTATAATTTTCATATAACTATTCTCGAATATCAAAAATTATCACCTTATTCTTGCGGAAATCTTTATAATTCCTTTTTAAGTTGAAAAGGGTAGTTTCCATGTCAGTTTGGTTCAAATGCTCTGTTTTGCATTTTCAAGCACAGGCTTCTTCTAAGAATATCATTTTTCAGCTTCTGGAAGCACCTTTAGAGTTTCAAATTTCGGGGAACAATCTTGCTCAATCTTCTGATATCCTTTTCATGCTTTGTGTATTGGTTCTATTATGATTTCATGTGACATTTAAAATTCGAATCTGGTAGAAGCAGTAATTATGAATAGGTGTGCTTACTTAGCAACCGATTTTCCAATTACACGGTGGACGAAAACCTCCTACATCACTACCAAAAATATTGCCAGAAAATAATCCTATGCGCTTTCATCTTCTTCTTCTCCTTCAATTGTGTGCACTCCTCACCGGTCCTTTATTATTATTTAGACAACACCTATTCGTTCTTCCACCTATTCGTTCCCCATTCCCCGATGATCATTGAAACACTATGACGTCATGGTCACTTTTTCTGCCACCTGCAGCATGGCTTATGAAAGTCTTTCGAATCCGTCTGGTGTCTATCTGAACCAGACAATCTGATCTTCCATAACAAGCCTATCCCACTGTATATGAATTCCAATTCCGATTATCGGTGTTCACAAACGATGTCATAGTTTCACAAAGTTCTCTTTTCTGTCGTCCATCATGTGTTTTAAAGTACACTTCCATCCATCTGTCTGATTTCTCTTTGTCTTTTCCCACTCACCTTCTAGCGAATGTTATCTCAATTCTATGAACAAGTGACACACACCTCGACACTCTCTGTCTCTCTCAATTCACTTTCTGATGTTTTTGCTGCTTCATGTTGTTGCATTTTATTCCGTTTTATTCTCAGGATCAAAATTTTCATTTTTTTCAGTTATGGACCTAGTGGACCCGCTTGCGGAGCCATGTGCCGTATGTGGCGATAAGTCAACTGGAACTCATTATGGAGTGATTTCGTGTAATGGATGCAAGGTAATTTTTCTAGAGTTATTTCTAATTTGACATGAACATTTTAGAAAAAGATCTGTGTGAGAAACTTTTTGTGCAATGCATTTTCAATTTGAAAAATTTTCTTCACACCTCGACCTGTAAAGTTTTTGTTTTTCAAAAGTTGAAAAATCTGCATCCGCATTCTCTAGTCTTCCTCATCAAAACACATCCTCATAATTTTAAGTTTTGCGTCAACTCTATAAAATCTTTTCTTCTGTTTCAGGGATTCTTCCGACGAACCGTTCTTCGTGATCAAAAGTTCACATGCCGCTTCAATAAACGTTGTGTAATCGACAAAAACTTCCGATGCGCCTGTCGTTACTGTCGTTTCCAGAAATGTGTTCAAGTTGGAATGAAACGAGAAGGTAAGCATTTATTCTTTAGTAGTATGGTAAATAGGAATACAATTCAGTGACCTCTTTTTCGCAAGCGAACGAGATCTCAACTTGAGATATTGATCGTCAAAAGAAAAACGGTTGTTGTTGTTGAATCCAAACCAATCTTAAACCCTCAAACCGTATTTTTCTTATTCTCAGTTATAATTCTCTAGAAAAATGTTTTTTTTTGTTTCAGCCATCCAATTCGAACGAGATCCAGTTGGCTCGCCAACCGGTGGAAATAGTCTGAACGGAACTCCATTCAAGAAGGATAGGAGTCCAGGATACGAGAACGGAAACGGAAACAATTCTGGAGTTGGCCAAGAAAACATGAGAACCGGCGCCACACAACCAAGTGTAATTGATAGTTTGATGGATATGGAGTCTCGTGTCAATCAAGAAATGTGCAACAGATACAGAAAATCACAGATTTTTGTAAATGGGAATGGCACTGCTGGGAACGAAGCGGAAGCTGCTTCTATTCAACAAGTAGCATCAGACGGAAGTGCTTTCGCTCCTCCAAACCGACCATGCACAACAACAGAGGTAAATAATAGGTGCAATTTTTACAAATAGTTTTTATGGTTTCAGGATCTGAATGAAATCTCCAGGACAACACTTCTATTAATGGTTGAATGGGCTAAAACGATCACACCGTTCATGGAACTTTCAATGGAAGACAAAATCATTCTTCTCAAAAACTATGCTCCACAGCATCTGATTCTGATGCCAGCGTTCCGAAGTCCGGATACGACACGTGTCTGTCTCTTCAACAACACCTACATGACACGTGACAACAATACGGATCTCAACGGATTCGCTGCCTTCAAAACCAGCAATATCACACCACGAGTACTGGACGAGATTGTTTGGCCAATGAGACAGTTACAAATGAGAGAACAAGAATTCGTGTGCCTGAAAGCGTTGGCATTCTTACATCCAGAAGCAAAGGGGCTATCGAATGCTTCACAAATCATGATCCGAGATGCTCGTAATCGAGTGTTGAAGGCTCTTTACGCATTTATTCTCGACCAAATGCCAGATGAGGCGCCTACCAGATATGGAAACATTTTGTTGCTAGCTCCAGCGCTCAAGGCTCTAACTCAACTTCTTATTGAAAACATGACATTGACCAAATTCTTCGGATTGGCAGAGGTATTTGAATTATGAAAAGAACAAAACATAAAAATGGGTTTTTAGGTGGATTCACTTCTTTCCGAATTCATTCTTGATGACATCAATGATCACTCAGCTGCACCAGCGTCGTTGCAACAACACCTTTCCTCACCGACAACGCTACCAACAAACGGGGTCAGTAACAAAAGAATTAGATTTTAAATTTTAATAATTCGGTGCTATTTCGATACTAAACGTTCAAAAGGATTTACAGGTATCGCCATTGAATGCTTCTGGTTCCTCCTCTGGTGTTCCATCCATCTCATCCATTGCTGGAATCACACCAACTGGACTGCTATCTGCCACCCTTGCAGCACCATTGGCCATTCACCCTCTTCAGTCTCAGGATTCCCTACTGAATGGAAATTTACTGTTGAACAGTGTCATTGAGCAGAAACCAGTTATTGAATAAATTCCCTCCTTATCTATCCCCCGTCTCCCATCATCTCAACCTCCTGTTCTATTCCAAATCTGTGATCTTCTGCTTCTAAAAAATGTCAAAAGAGCCAACCTTCAAGATTGTACATAGCCGTCCCAAAAAATTAGTTATTTCCAGTGATTCTGGAAGCTCGTCTAGGCCATTTTTTTCTATATCATATCAGGTTGTTCATTATAATTTCCCCCATCCTCATCCCTCCGGGCTGGCTCTCGTTTTTTTTTCTACTTTGTGATTCACAACTCCCTTCCACCTGTTTCCTGAAGTCCTCCCGCATTTCTTTGTTCCCTGTATTACTACTCCATCTTGGCAGAAAAAGCGTCCTTATATTTTTATTTTATTTATTCTCTATCCAAAGCTTTTATTACTCTTTTTCTTCTTCTTCTTCTTCTTCTCCATCATGTCAAATAAACAAATCCTGAGTCATTGGTATCGAAACTAAGACTTCAGAATTCATGCCACGGACACCACCGCCGCCACCACGTAGACCGTAAGTTGACACAATCTTCAAAGCCGCCTGTTTGAGCACCTGGAGCATCACGGGAAACAGCTTGATTTGACACAGTACTCTTTTCTCTTTGCATCTCTCCTTTTTTGTTTTGATTTCCATTGACACGATGATTCGAGAAATGATGATATGATATGACCATTTCCCAAGACACTTGAGAGCATTTCATCGAAGAATCGAACAGTTTGTCTAAGATCGAGATAGAGAGACAGATAGAGAAATGAGTGTTTAGGAGTGGGAGGGTTCGAAATATACTGAGGAAGAAGGATTAAATGTGATTCACACCTTTCGGAGAATATATATGTACACTCTGGTGAAGAGCCAGTTTTGGAGACATTCACTGTCTCTTCTTCCTTTTTAAAAAAATACTTGTGCATGCTTTCAAACTTGACACTTGTATTTTGAAAAGTTAGATGTTGTTGAAAATCAGAATTTTAAAAATTACTATATACAGCTTAATAATCATAAACCGTACCTCTGAAATAATTTAGAAAAGAGAAGTTCCATTTTCCAAATACCGTAAAACATGTAGTCCCACAAATTTCAACTTTGAGACTATTTTCTCGATTCCTGTCAAAGGTATTAAAAAGTTGGCAACTGACAGGATAGTTTTGATATTATGATAAACATTTTGCCAGATGCCTACTTTTTGATACCTTTCACAGGAACTGAGATAAGTATACTCGAAGTTGAAACTTAAATATGATGAGGAAAAAAACGTTTCATTTTCAAAATAGGATTCTTCTGGTTTTTTCCCTTACAATTAGGATTACTGTAGTAGTCGCAATTTTAAATTCTGAAAAACTGTTTCTTTAACTTTCGCCTAACGAGAAGAGACGTCCGGAATGACTTTTTTGAGAAACGGAATCCGGAATCTGGAATCGAGAATAAAATAATTTTCTCGGAATCCGGAATCCGGAATTCGGAAAGAACTTCAAAAACAGCAGAGATGCACATTAACACATTTGCTGAAAACCCGGAATAAAATATTTTCCACGGAATCTGGAATCCGGAATACGTAATCCGGAATCCGGACATCTCTGCTAATGATCCGTATGATCGTATTATTTCCTCAAATCAGAAAAAAAGTGTTCCTGTTTGACCTGGAACTGAAACGCGCTAAAGATACGCCAGATCTAGCAGTACATCCTCCTTGTTTTTGTGATTTATGATGTCACTCAATATTTCTTTAACTCTGACGTGTCCGACTCTTTTTCTAAAAATGAATACAAACTTTAAATCCTTCATATTTGAATTGACTCATTCGATATTTTGCTTAACCTTCTATTGAACGATACCGTAAACACGCTAATATAGTACCATCTCCAACATATAATTTTGAGCCCATATATCTCGGTTCTTTTGGAAGATATCAAAAATTGTCAACTGATAAAACGTTTAAAATGTTATGTTAAGATTTTTGTCAGTTGACAACTTTTTGATATCTTTCACAGGAACTTAGATATATGGGCTCCACTCCATGTTGACAGTTTCTGGCGCGTTCTATGAGAGTGTTTACGGTAGCAGTATTATACAGATTTAAAGGGAAAAGTCAAAAAGAAAGTGTCACCTAAGCTGTCAAAAAAAAAGTGAATCATAAACCGTACCTCTGAAATAAGAAAAATCGCAAAAATTACTAAACTCTATTCTCGAAATCATAGACTCTTTTTGATTTTGAAAATCTAGTGGGATCTAGTAATTTTTCATCCACCGAAATCATAGAAACTGTTTCTCACACAGAACTCTTTCTCCGTTTTTTCGAACTTGAAAGTTGTATGCAACGTACGTCAAACAGAGTGCACAATCACTATAGAATGGTGGGAAAATCCACACTTTTCGGATTGGATGCCATCCGTCGATTTCTCTACACAACCCCCTTCTTTCACTAGTCGACAATATAAAGTATTTCAAATTGTAATATTGAAAGAAATTTGTAATTGAATACTGTACTACTGTGTATTGTTTCCTATTATGGAATAAAAGTTTGTTGTCTCATCGGGGGGATATGGACGCACAAACTGTTCCGCATAACTCGGCTTCTTCCAATAAACCCGGTACAGCTGGTTCTCGTGTTCCAAGGTGATTCTATACTGTTTCTGGTTTAAGTGGATTAGTTTTTTAAATTTATAAGACTGGGGTTGTATTCATTACCAGCAAGCTGGTGCGCCTTCGGCGCAATTCAATCTAGTTTTTTTAAAAACTTTTTGTCGCTCCATGACTCACTTTTTCTTACAGGGTCACGTAAATCTAAATTCATATTTTAATTTTCTCAAAAGTCCACAGATCCTCAAGAGGACAAACAGAAGCCTCTAGCGTTTTATATATATCGTTTTATTGTAAGGAAGATTTAGTAAAAAAAATATAATACAGTAGATCTTGTTCGACTGGTCTCAAATTATAATGGTAGATTTCTATTTTTCTAGTAGGCAATTCTTTTCAACAAACCTTCAAAATTTGATGTGCTTCGAAATCTTAAAAATTTCAGAATGGTTTTCGCTGAAATTGTGGGAACGCTCTCATTTCTACAACCACAAGCAGATGATGACATTTTCGACAGATTACACTATTACTACACAACAACTTTCTTATTACTAACTGCTGTAAGTTTGCCTATTTCAGAAGCGTCCTCACTCTGTTTGAGCTTGAGCTAACTTTTCTTGGCTCTTGTGCAAGATATCAAAAAGTTGTCAACTGATAAAATATTTTTGACATTATGATAAACAATTTATCAGTGGGCAACGTTTCGATATCTTTGGCTAGAACCGAGATAAAGTGGCTTAAAGTTGAAAATGAAGGAGCCCTTCTATTACAGGGTTTTTAAAAATCTTATTATTTAGGTTCTAATATCCCTGAAAATGTTTGGAGGACGACCGATAGAGTGTTGGCTTCCGGCAGAATACAAAAGCAGTTGGGAAGATTATACAGGTGAGAAAACAAGAAGTTTGAACAAAGAATCAAAATTTGAATTCAGAAATGTATTGCTGGGCAAGAAACACATATGTGACTGCTTTCGAGGATGATAATCTACCTGAAGTTGTGAATAGAGAATACACAATGGTTTGATTTAAACTTTCAATGATATCGTAGTTTCTGAGAAATTCAGGTATCATACTACCAATGGGTTCCATTTTTCCTTGTATACGTGGCATTCAGTTTCTATGCTCCATGCCTATTATGGAGGCTGTTTTACGACAAGTCTGGTATTCGATTGAAAGATATAATGGCATTCGCAAATGACAAAGCGAATGTGGTTCCTGCTCAACGACAAGCTAATATTCGAGGCCTATCTGCTCACTTGTCATCAGTTTTCAAACATAGGTTCCGAATTGGAGAGAAGCATCCATATCATCATAAGTGAGTATAGAAATGGTGTTATAGAATAAGAATCGGAAGAATTTCAGAGTGTTTAAAATCTTCAATGTGAGATATTATGAATCGTATTTGACCTATTTATACCTGGGAATCAAAGGAATGTTTCTGATGAATGTGTTGATGCAGGTATTCAATTTTAATTTATGAAGAAACTTCTAAATTTCTAACTACCGTAAAACCAATAATAGTAAGGTTCCTAACTTTTAATTTCGAGCCAATTTATTTCGGTTCATGTAAAAGATATCAAAAAGTTGTCAACTGGTAAACCGTTTATCATAACATCAGAAGTGTTTTGTCAGTTGACCCATTTTTATATATTGCATGCAGGGTGGCTTTTAATTACCGGCGCACAACTTTGGCGCCATGGTTCTCGCTGTTGGTGAGCAATAGGCGCATCAAATTTTGTTCTTTGATTTATTGATTCATAATTAGTATTTCTGCCAAGTTTCAGATTCATTGATTGAGTTTCAGCTGAATGGCGAGACCTATTGTAACACCATGCGACGGTCATCAGCCTTCAGAAGTAGGGTGTTAGTCGAAACGGGATCATTAAACGCATTGCGATTGCAGACATGGGGTTTTTTGAGGTTATCAAAAGATTCACCGAGTCTGGATCTCTATGTGATCGCATTGGGAGAGGAAGAAAAACTTCGGTGTCATCTCCAGAGAACGTTGAAACTGTTCGAGATCAAATCAGGGGTAGCCTACATAGATCGCTCAGAAAATTGGACAGTAATACGGGTATCTATTGGTTTCTGGTTCAAAAAATAGCCCGAAAGAAGCCTAATCGAAAATGATATTGTATTCCAAAAGCAGTCATCTTGTTGGAGAGCAATAAGCAATAGTGTCTGGAGAAGGCTAAATTTCCTCTGGATGGCAAGCAGCGAGCAGATCATTTGGGGCCGGTTTTCTTTGACGAGCAGTGGTTCACGATTGAAGAAGAATTCGACTTTCAAAGTTATTGTGGGTTAGCCAAGGATACCAAGGAAGCTCTAGAGAAAGAAAAAACCATTCCTGGAGTTTTCCACACGGCCAGAATTATGGTTTTCCATGCGATATGCTCAAATAGCAAGTTTCATAAATAAAAACGTCCGCATCGTCGAAAAAAAGTATATCGAGCAAATCTTGATGAAGAATCTGCTCCCTCGGACCAAATACCACTTTGAACGGGTACATTTGGTTCACCAGAACGACGGAGCTCCAGTCCACACCGCCAAACTCACCCAGCAGTGGTGCGAGGCGCACCTGCCTGGGGAGACGAATGACCGCCCTACTCGCTGGATTTGAAACCCTAGACTATTCCATCTGGATTTTTGCAGAACAAGGTCTGCTCAATACTCTATTCAACTTTCGAGACTCTAGAAGAAACACTTTTCGAGAAATGGGACAAACTTTGGACCGTGCCACCATCAATGCCTACCGAAGACGTCTTCAGACCGTAACTGAAGCGAACGATGACTGAATTGAAAAATTCTTTCTGATTATAATTTTTGTACGTCCAAATAAATATGCTGTTGAGTTCCATCAGTATTCAGCTTTTACTTTTCGAGAAAACCTCTTTCAAAAATGTGCCGGTAATTAAAAGCCACCCTGTAGGAATAGAGATAATTGAGCTAAAACATGACCGTGTGGGTGTCCCTCTATTACAGGTTTTAAGGTAATAATATCAGAGGATATATTTTTTCAAAAATAATTTCAGATGTACTTCATGAGTCGATTCCTCGAACTCGACAGTCATCGATACTACGGATACGGAATCTTATACGATTTGATAATGGGTCGAGGGTGGAAGGAATCATCAAACTTTCCAGTTGTAACCTATTGTGATATGCAGATAAGAATATTGGGACACGTACAGAGGCATACTGTACAATGTGTTCTTGTCATCAATATATTCACAGAAAAAGTAAGAATCTTGGAATTTAGGATGAGAACAAGAAATTTCAGATATTTTTTATCCTCTGGCTTTGGTACACTCTTTTATCATTCATCTCCTTTGGATCAATTCTCTCCTGGATTTTTGGATCGATTCCTTTCAATCAACGTCGTCAGTTTGTTGCGAGAAGACTTGAGTTAGCAGATGTTAATTTTGAGAAAAGTAGATACAAACATGAGCTTGATGAGGTAAACATTTTGAAAGTATCTATAAAGACATCTGAAAAATTTCTGTTTCAGTTTGTTCGAGATTATATCAAAATCGATGGAATTTTCGTTCTGAAAATGATAACGATCCATTCTGGAATATTGATGTGTACTGATATTGTTGATCAAATGTGGGATCAATATCTAGAGGAATCTGGTATGCTGAAAACAGTAAAAAATAATATCAAATAACTTTTTAGGCAACCAAGTGATTCGAGAAATTATAGATGAAAAGAGTTTTGGAGATGATTATGACAGGTCTGCATCTGCCGGTGGCTTATCAATAGATCCAGGAATTCGTCGAAAGACATCTGTATTAGTTCCATTAATGAGTCGAGAAGATCTGAATGTAGATCAATCTCCAACAACTCCAACTCCTCAATTTTTAAGACCTCCGAGTAGTCGAATGACTGCTAATGTATAATATTTTTTTTCACATCTTGTTGTTTCTCAAATTTTTTTTTCAAAAAGCGAATTAAATCAAATAAAAATTCTATTAAAATTGAAAATATCAAAGGCATATAACGCTATAAGAGATATTACAAGTATTGCAAACGCTGCGAAAATTTTGAAGATCGTCTTAATCTGGGTCGTTTGTATCGTAATAACAGGATTACCATGCAAATGTTTGATCAAAAAATGAAGAACGCCAGTTTGGAACAATTGGATTCATTTTTAACAAGACTAGAACGGAAGAGATTGTGGAGAGTATTTGGAACTTTTGGGGATCATGTGGATATATCAGAGGTCATGTGATTATATCAAGGATGCGATTGGCGGCCAAGCCATTAGCAAAGTTTGAGAATAGATCCAAGAGAAACTCAAGTATTTTCTTCATACATATCATTTTTGGAACTGATGTGTTCTGTTCAAATTTCAATATTTTTTGTCTTTACAATTTGATTCCCAATATGACTTTTAACTGTTATTATGTTTTACTATTATTGTGTCGGACTACCTCAGTTTTACGACCTCCGAGTAGTCGAATGACTGCTAATGCATAAATTCTTTTTACTTTTCCCATCTTGTTGTTTTTCAAAATATTTGAATCAAATTAAATACCTATCATAAAAAGTGAAGATAACAAATAGGTGACGTGAGCAAGTGCCCGAAAAAGGACTCAAATTCAGAAAGGATTGATTTCAAAAATGAAACGAATAATAGGTGAATTGGGGAAATGGTATGGGCAAAATTATATTATGTTCACTGAAATTTATGGTACACCTATTTGTCTATTCTTCTACTTCAACTTCTTGTTCTGGTTTGAAAAAAACACGACATTCAGAATAAAATGAAAAAATGAAGAACAGTTTCCTATTGCCTCTACCATCTAGCAGCATCGGACCAATCGGTTTGAAGCCAAAAATTTTGAATCGAAACACAAAGCTCGGTTCGGAAGCTAGTTCTGCCATGCAAGTGTGGTACATGGATTGCAAACCTTGGAAAACCGAAAAAATTTGGAGGTTGGGTGCCTCATGCCTTGAAGGACAACGACAAGGACCGCCGAGTGGACATCAGAACGTTTCTTGGCTCTTCTCACGTCACTCAAGCAAGGGCCAGTGGGTGGACAAAGATGAACAGCCTATAGACGTTCTAGGTAATAGTTTATGCGTTTGGTGGCCCGTGGAAGGAATCGATTATGAGGAGTATTGGAAAGACGCAAACATATAGAACGGTACCACCATCTTCTTCTTCGACGGACCTCTCTTTTTCTTTTCTCTCCCTTTTTATTTTTTCTGTTTTCCTCACCGTTTTTCTGAAGGTCTATCTAAATGGATAGACTTATGATTTTTCGTGAGTTTGGATTCGGTTTTTCGAAAAATATTTCCCATTTGTTTCCAAAAATTTTTAACAACTTCTTATTCAAAAATATCTTGTATATGAATACACGAATTTAAATGTTTTTTTTGAAAAAAATAAGAAGTATGTATAAGTTGATAGTGATGTTCCTCCGAGTACTTTTATTGTTTTTAAAAATTGGCGTTTTGAAAATTCTGTGGAACTCGATATTTTCTTTTTTTTTGTTCTTCTGGTTTTCTTTTTAAAGATGGCTCTTATCAAAAACTATGATATATTTCAGTGGCACCTGGAAAAGAATCCACACTCAGAAGGCTGTTATGAAATCCGAGCAGGAAAAAAGCCTAGAAGAAATAACGGTAAGTTAAACTTCTCCCTTTTATAAATAGACATGCATCTAGTTCTCCTTCTTTCTACAGCGGTAAAAATTATAATTACATACTCAGAAAAATATAGAATCTTAAGTATTGTATTGAACAAGCTTGACCAAATGCTTAAAATTCAAATTTTCAGGAACAAGAACACCGAGATCTCTTTGTCAAGGCCTACAGAAAATATTACAAATTTTGCAAACGCTGCGAAAGTTATGAATATCGTAGTGATCTGCCTCGTTTTGGTTATAATGACAGAATTACCATGCAAATGATGGATCAAAAATATAAGAACGCCAGTTTGGAAAAATTGGAGTCAGTTTTAATCGAAATACAACGTGCTGAAAATGTATTGGGAGGCAATGAAGCGATACAGTTTCCGTTTGAAATGTTTATTGACCCGGAAGAGATTTTGGAGAGTGTTTGGAACTTTTGGGGATTTGTTAAGAGGACATGCGGATATCAAAGATTTGCGAAATCAGAACAGGAAAAAAGTCAAGAAGAAATAGCGGTGAGTTCAATTTTTCCCTTTTGTAAATGGAGACACAGCACCAATTTACTATTTTCCACCAATGTGAAAAACTATATATGATCAGAATGTGATTTCAGTACAACTTCTCGTTTTCGGAGGGAATTTTTGAACGAGTTTTTGACTTTATTCGGATTTTCGCCGAAATATTGTTCTACTGTAGAACGTTTCTAGTAATTGCTAACGTTTTTAGAAACAAAGACATGTAAAACAAAAATGTAAAAAATTAAATATTGTATTGAACGACATTTTTGTCCAGCTCAACTTATTGATCACTCTATCATTTTTGGAACTGATCTGTTCTGTTCAAATTTCAATATTTTTTGTCTTTACAATTTGATTCCCAATATGACTATGGAGACTGCAGTCTCCATAGTCATACTGCTCTGATTGTCGACTGCTCTGATTGTGAGGAAGGGATCGTCTTCAAGGAAGTATTTATGTGGACCTCAATTCCTCGAAGACGACCCCTTCCTCGCAATCGAAGGACTGTCGGACTACCTCAATTCTAACGACCTCCGAGTTGTCGAATGACTGCTAATGTATAAATTGTTTTTTTCTTTTCACACATTTTTGTTTTTCAAAATATTTCAATCAAATTAAATACTATAAAAAGTAAAGATATCAAAGAGGTGATGTGAGCAAGTGTCCGAAAAAGGACCCGAATTTCTAGAAGAGTGGACGATGGGGGAACAATGAGACAATTTCGAAAAGAGTTTAAAAAAAAATGAAACGATTAATAGGTGAATTGGGGGGAAGGATTAGGGCAAGATGATATTATGTTCACTGAAATTTATGGCACAACCATTTGTCTATTCTTCTACTTCAACTTCTGCTTTTACGGAAGGCGTGTTGACGGGAGAGGCAAGACTCGTTTGGAGAATCTGAAAACATGATTATATTATTTTCAAATTTAGCAGTCAAAAGTACCTGGGGGTCTGAAGGTTTTAGGTCGTTCAGAATCAGTTCTTCCATCAAAGAATCCACGTTTACAAGACCAAATAGACGAGCGAGTTGAACGTCTTCTACCTGCAAATGTTCATAGTCAAAATTTTTTAAAGTTGTCCGCTACGGTAGAGTTGAGACCAGAGTTATTTTTTGTTTTGTTAGTCAGCAACTTTTAGATTAAATACCGTATTTTCTCTAACAGTATCTCACTCAAGCCGTCCACTTGGAGCTTAATTATCTCGATTCCTGTAAAAGATATCAGAAATTTCCCAACTTATAAAATTTTTATCATGATATCAGAAACATTTTATCAGTTAACACCTTTTTGATATCTTCTGAAGGAATTGAGATAAATTGGCTCAAAGCTAACGGTTTGGGTAGGCTTCTATTAGAGGGAGTACGGTATGTTATACGGAAACGAGATAACTGAAGTGGGTGCTTTTGAATAATGTAGCCTCTAGTAAAATATTGATTGGAAACTTTGAACGCTCCTAAAAAATCCCTGAAAAAATCCTTCCGTTCCTTACCAATTGTTGTGCGATTGCCTGAAGAGAAGGCAATAACAAAAGAAGTTTTCCACTCCGACAATCCTGCGAATCGTCTTCCTGATTTACTATTGCCTTATCCGTGCACCTAAAACTCTCATTTTTCATTCTCTTGACTTCTGAAAATCCCTACGAACCTTCTCTGTAATGACCTCAAACATGCATATCTGGCATTCTCCACTGACGTCTGATCATTGCATTCTCTGACAACTGGATTAAAGAAAAGAATCGCTTTCAGTGCAACGTATTCCACCAAATCCATATCCAATCTTCTCATCGGATTCACAAGTTCAGCAAGAATTCGTCCGACAACACAACTAAAATGACTGTACTGGGATACAATCGGGAGGGGAATTGAGGGATACAACTCACTTGATATCACCAACTTGAGTGGCATGTTCTTTAGGTAAAAGAGTGTCGTTTGCCAAACAAATCGTATCATCCATTCCCAAATGAATCGATCGATACGCCACTCCCAACACGATTATGGATGCTGCTCCACCTTTCAGAAGAGCTGCCTGGAACATTTGAAATTCATTCGTTATCTTTGATATTTTTCTCACCTGATCAACTTGAGCCAAGAATGAAAACTGTGGCAGCGATTTTGCCCATTCAATAAAAAGAACCAACTGTTGATGGATAGATTTTCCAATATCATCTAAAGTGGCTGATCTCGCATCCTCATAATTCCATTTCACTTTTCCACAGTCGTATGGCGCCTGGAAAACACGTGGATTCAATGTGCTCAGTCAGGAAAATAGAAATTCTTACCAGAGAAGATGTATTCTTAATAACACTGGATCTTAACTGTTGACACATCTGTTCAGCCTGAACTAATTGATCAATGAGATCTTCTTTTCCTTCTTCTGGCGTCTTTTTTCTTTTTCCTATCGCGTCCCGTTCATTTTGGATTGCATTACTTTTCATTCCAGCTTTTACGCACTTCTGTAGTCGACAAGCTCGACAAGCATTTCGTTTATCTGGAAAAATATATGTTTTGTGGATGACATCTTTCAGGATATCTAATAAATGGATTTTGAGTTTTCGAAAAATGAGTTTTCAAATACCTCATCTTGATACAGTAACTTGAAGAACTTGTAAAATTTTCTGATCGTTACTTAGTTTGAATAAACCTGTTTACTGTCAGAAAACTAATCATAATTTCAGTTTTTTTTTCAAATAACGATTTTCAGAATCAAAGCTAATTCTGTAGTACTAAGCGATCATTCAAAATATACCGTTTTCCCTCTAGACCGTTTCATGCGAACCATCAACTTTGAGCTCAATTATTTGGACTCCTGAGAAAGATATCAAAAATTTGTCAACTGATAAATTGCTTATCACAATATCACCAATAATTTATTAGTTGGCAATTTTTTGATATCTCCCACAGGAATTTATATAATTGAGCTCAATGTTGACAGTTTGTGTGGGCTTCTATTAGAGGGAATACGGTAGTTTGTGGTAAACCCCTAGACTTTTTGAAATCTTGAAATTTTATAGTTTTGTTTTGAATAGTTCCTATATGATTGTTTCAAAAAAAAATGCAGTAACTAATACCCTTACAAGTTTTTTAATCCCAAAAAATGTAAATAAAAAAAAAACTAACTTCTTGTAACATCACAATTCTGTTCAAATCGACATGTATAGTGATATCTTTTCCGAATACTCCTACGAAAGAATCCTTTACATCCATCACAGCTGATTGCTCCATAATGCTTTCCAGTTGACTTATCGTTGCAAATATGACATATTTCTTCTACCATTTTTGAAATATGTTTATCTGAAATTTAAATTTTTATTCAAAGTTTTTTGTTTCACTGAACAAATTAAAGTTAGAAAATATAAGAAGAATGAATTTTTGAATGTCTGCGTCTGCCTGCCAGTCTTACTGTGCAAACTCCCGCTTATCAGTAGAGCGCGTTGTGCCTAATGCGAAAGTTTTGATCTGCTTGATTTTGTGTCAGTGATCATACATGAATGTTCCAGAATACAGAAAAGAAGAAGAAGGAGAAAAAATGGGATGGAAAAGAAGGAAACAGTATGATTGAGAGGCGTGTGATGGTGCGTATGAGTGAGTGTTAGATAAGAAAAACGATGGAGGAGGAAAACGAAAAAAAGAGACGATATGGAAAAGAAGAAGAAGAATAAGTGACAAACATGTGGAAGATGGGGAAAAAAAAGAAGAACAAGGCACTGATAACCGCGGGGTATCTCCTTGCAGAGATCGTTTTGGAGAGAATAGAAAATTAGTGGAGAAGACGAAGAGAAAAAGTACACCCATTTCTGGAATTCCGTTTTTTCTGTAGTATCACTTCATGTGTCAAAATCATTGATTTTTTTAAAGATTTTATCAGTAGAAAGACTCTAAAATAACAATGGCAAAGGGGGAGAAAGGTGCTGTTGTTTATGAAAGAACTACTGTGGTTGAAAAAAACAAAAACAAGGAGGACAAAAACATAATTACTATCACTCGTGTGGTAGCAACGGAAAACTATAAGATTCAAAAATTTTATGATAGTGGTTCGGTTAGCCCAAAATCTTCTTTCTAAAAATGTCTTTGCCTACATTTTCTTGACAGACAAACAATTCCAGTTTCTTCCGAATCGCATGTGACCTAATTTCCACGTGTTGAAAAAGACCAGCCACGTGATTAGAATACAGGAATATCAAAATAGCTGGGGCGCCTGTGCCGCGAAGTTTTTGAAGCGCTTCATAGGAAAGTACCGGTATTATTCTGGCACAAAAAACACGGAGTTAGAAAAGAAACCTTTAGGCCCCACACCGACAACTACCGTAATCTAAAAATAGATTTATTTTCCCAATTTTTTTTCTCGATTTTCCCTGCGATTCGTCGATTTTTTTTCTGTTATTTCTATGAAAAAGTTGTATGAAAACGTACTAAAAGGAAAGTGAGAAACTAAATCCGAAAAACAAAAAAATGTTTAGGTTGTCATTGTGGGACCTTCGGCCACGGCCACATGCGATTCTTTTCCACAGCTAGGATTTTTCTCTACCAGAATAATAGTTTTGGGAAGCATAAAACAAGAACAACTCTAGTTTACTATCAAATGATGTATTTCTACAGTAAGAAAAACACTATGAATCAGCGATGGCTTCTGTGAAAATCAATTTAAATTCCTTGGTTTGTGTAAGACCACAAGGAAACACGAGACTCCATTTTTTCAAATTTCTTAAGAAACGATGAAGTCACCTGTTTTTTGGGAAAAAAACCTGTATGCGTTCATTATGTTATTCTAATTGCTAAGATTTTAATGTTTCAGAGATAAAAATAATAAGAGAACAACTACAAAATGGTGACGTTGATCAATAGAAGAGGATGAGAACGCAGTTTTGGTTGATAACAAAATGTATCGATCAGTTTTTATCATTTATGGTTTTGTATGATACTATGTAGTCTTGTCTTTTTCCGTCCTATTCTCTTCCATTTGGAGAAATGCTGAGAGCGACCGACGGTGTCTTTACGGCCATGAGGAACAACGTTATCGCCGCTCCCATGTGGTCTAGTGGTTAGGATTCGTGGTTTTCACCCACGCGGCCCGGGTTCGATTCCCGGCATGGGAAGTCTCTATTTTTTTTAATTTGAAAAGTGGTTTGTAAAGATGAAGAACAGTCAGAATGGTTAGAAAAGTTAGAAAGGGAAAAAAGAGACGGCGAATGAAAAACAAATGTTCGTTTGAGTGTCTGGTGGTCTGCGTCTTGTATTGGGGTTGTTGCCAGCCAAAAATCTCATCTGGTTTACAACCTTGGACACCCAGAGGTCCCGCTCAGAGATCGATTGACAGAGGGAGGGAACGGAGGGTAGATAGGAAAAATAATGATGATGAGTAAGAGAAGAACGATTAGATGTTGTCATAGATTCACAATCTTACTGATTTTTTCTTGTACAAAAAAATGGAGCTGTGGAAGAGAAACGCCGGTGGCCATGGCTGAAGGTCCCACAACGAAAACTACCGTAACCTGAAAATATTTGTGTGTTTTCGAATTTACTTTCTTGTTTTTCACTGCGTTTCGTCGAGTTTTCTGATATTTTCCTCAATAAAGTCGGAGAATAAACATTTTTGATAGGGAACAAATTGATTGAACGAAAATTGAGAAAAAAACATTAATCCGAATAACACAAATATTTTTAGATTACGGTAGTAGTCGTTGTGGTCACCGGCGTTTCTCTTCTACAGCTCCGGGTTTTAAATAAAAAAACATGGAATCTCACATTTTTCTACTCCCAGCTGATACAGTTTCAAAATCTCAGGTTCTTGAAATCTCAAAACTTCCGGAGCTCAAGAAGTTTTTCAAAGCCAAAGACAAAAGAATGATGTCCTAAAGGACCTCACCACTTTGAGTTTTTGATTTTTGCCGTTTATGTGAACTTTGAATTGATGTCACTCAAGTACACACCTTTCTGATCTGATGAATCGAAAAACGATGTCTACAATTTTCCAGAAACTTCAAGAAACGATTTCTTCAGAATCCCATTGTAGAACATGGTTCATAAAAGGAGTCATTGGAAAAGTACACATAGACACTGTTCGCCGCCTCCCCAGATTCCCATTTTCCAGGTTCATGACATCTGTATGAATGGAAGTTTTTTTTCGAGAAGAAATGAGAATTGACAAACAGCAAATGGCAGCAAGAAACGATCCCAACTGTGCAAACTTTGCAATCGAAACAGCACTCCCATCATCACAAAATATTGGGACAATTTTCAGAATGAAGCTATAAATTGGGCCAACTATTTGCGGCGCTTCTGCATTTTTCACTATGTTTTGATATGTTTTTTGACCTGGAATTATCAAGCTGAATAGCCAAAAATCCAAAGAATATAATTTTTTGAGAAATATTATTGAAATTCTATTGCTAATTTTTCAAAAAACTTTAACTATGTCTTCTGAAGTAACCGTTTGGCTGAATTCCAAAAATTCAAATTCTCTGAAATCTGATCATAGAGTGAAATTCAAAAATTGTAGCTGTTATTATGCTGGTAAATTGATCATAGAGTGAAATTCAAAAATTGTAGCTGTTATTATGCTGGAGCTGTGGAAGAGAAACATTGGTGACCCTGGCCGGAGGTCCCATAACGACAACTACAGTAAGAACATTTTTATTTTCAGGGTTCCTTTTATCGATTTAAAAAAATAACAGAAAAAAATCGACAGAAATCGGTAAAAAATGAGCAAAAAAATCTTGAAAAGAAAAATATTTTTAGGTTGCTGTAATTGTTGTCGCGGGACCTTCGGCCACGACCACCGGCGTTTCTTTTCCACAGCTACCGCTTTGATACTGTACCGGCATGAATAAAGCCGAGCTGAAATCACACCAAATTCATTCCTCCAGATGTTCCTAACGAGCTGAGCCAAAACCAAAGTTTTCTGACTCATTGTGACGAAAAATCAAGATTTTAGTTTCTTTTTCCTGTATTCCGGAACTTTTTTCTGAATGGACACATCAGTGTCGATACGATGTGGGAATATAGGTTCTTTTTTCGTCTAAACAGCTGGTGTTCTCTTCCATTTTTCTCTTCTCCACACACATTTTTCTGTCGCCCTATTCAATTATTTTTCTTTCATGCCCATTTTTAGATGGACATCAAACAGATATTGTTATCATTGACTCTGTTTGTCTCTGTGGCAGATTCAAGGGTAAGAAATGAGAGGTTTCGAGAGAGGACCACATATTCTTTTCAGGGTCGACGAATCAATATTTATGGGGCTGAAAATGGGCACAGTGACATTGTGCAATTACGGGGAAACAGTGGAGCTCAACAAGTTTATAGTTCTCCAATACGAGAAAAGTGAGTTCAGAAATTGCAAAAAAAAAACTGTGAATAGAAAAATTAAACCGATAGCAAGCTGTTCAAACTAAAAATGAGTCATTTTATATTTTGCAGAAGGTTTGGGTTTGTAACTTTCTGGATCAAGATTAACTACAGTCTTCCTATAGAAAAATGTATAGGTTTCAATTTTACACGTTTTTTAGATGAGAACTTTCATCTAGCTACCGTAGTTTTTGGGATATGCGCCTTTAAATTTATCGAGCTTCATCCCTCTCAGCCAGTCAATCTTTGAAAGCGCATATCTCGAAAACTACAGTAGCTAGAAAAAAGTAGTCCACTGCAAAAACGAAGCGCAAGTTTTCATTAACATAGTTTAGAATTTTCGAAAACATCCGACAATTTCTAGCAAGATTTTCAGTGGGTTAAAAACGGGGAAAACAATTTTTGAACTAAAAACTCCACATAAAAAAATCAAAATTTTTTAGCTGTTTCCAGGTAAGATTTTTTTGTGTTAAACAAAACTAAAAACTTAGATTTGTGATTTACAGAATCAAAATGTTATATACAGTGTCCGTACAGTAATCTCAAAACTGTTACTTCAGACGACCTAAATTTCGAAACGCACTGTTATCCAACTCCCCTTTGAAATGGAGTAAAATGCAAGATTCCGATGGAAACTACTTAATTCCATTCGTGATTTCTGGAAGCTATGGTAATCCTCTTTTCTCGCCTTTTAATTTACAACTCCTTTTTTTCAGATTCGGTGGAACAAAAAATCATCAAAACTGCAATGGAAAAGATAGCGGCGAACACTTGTATTCGATTAATTCCCCGAACGAATCAACCGGATTATGCTGAAATCCTAAACAAAAAGGGTCAAGGGTTTGAAATTTTTCAAAGACACCTAAAACCAAGATTAAAAACTTTATTCAGATGCTACGCGAGTATCGGTCGGTTCCCTGGGAAAAATGTGGTGATGCTGGAGAGCAATGATGATCAATCGTAGGAAATATTTTTAATTTTCTTCTTGGCTGAAACTCCACGTCATCTAATTGACTTCCATATTCTTTCAGATGTATTCAAGAAGATACAGTAATCCACGAATTATTCCATGTGATTGGTCTTTGGCACGAGCACATGAGAGCGGATAGAGATGCATTTATTAATGTTCTTTATAAGAATATTGAGCAAGGTGGGAAGGTATGATTCGATTTAGGGAAAAATGAATTTCAGCTCAATATCCACAATTTGAAAAGTTGTCCTCAAGGGATGCAACTACTTATAATGTTCCGTATGACTATAAATCAGTTATGCATTACGATGAAACGGCGTTTGCGAAGCCAGGAAAAATTAGTATGATGACGAAGGATTCTAGTTTCCAGGTGATTGCTTAGGATTTTAAAAAATTTTTACTGCCTTATCTTGTGCAGGAACTCATGTAGATTCACATAAAAACGAAGAAAAATTCAAAATAAATTTCTTCATTGAAAAGAAAAGTTTTTTTCATACTTTTTCAAGGGTTTCTGGAAATTACGGGAGAAAAACAGACGAAAACCTCGGAAACCTTTTAAAAAACTATAAATTTTTGAGAACAATCGCGATTTTGTCGCGAATTTTAACAGAGAATAATTGATTTTTCTAGGTTTTTTTTTGCAAAATGTTTAGACCTTTTTATTTTTCGTTTTTTTCGGTTTTTGTCTGAAAATTGACTGGGCGATATTCTTGAAGATTACTGTAGAAGCTAATTTCCTTGTAGTTTTTACTGTAGTGTTTGCAAACATAACTACAAAGAACAAGAAAATTAGTTTTCTACAGTAATCTTCGCGAACGCCGTCCCGTCTAATTGCAGGCAAAATCCTGGGAAACACGAAAGAAAAACTTGAAGAATTTCTGAAAAACAGGAAAAGGTCTAAAATTTATTTCTATGTGAATCCAGATGATTTTCTGTTCAAAACAAATAAATAAAAATTCCACAGTTCACCACCTCCAAATTCAAAAAGATGTTTTCCAAAAAAATGAGCTCAAAGGTTTCTTGAAAACCGTCACAACATTTGAACAACGAAAGAAGCATCCAGACCCAGACTATTGGTCAAGATGTTTGAAAAAAATGTCCCCCTTCAACGAAACTTATAAAAATATTTAGCATTATAAACTTTTCTAGAAAGTGATTGGGCATCCACGAGACGCCTCTTCCAACGACTACAAAAAAGTATGTGCCATCTACCACTGCTCTAAATGCATGAATCAAAATTTCGATCAATTGGTTATCAGTGATAATATTGATCTTCGAAATCCAGTCATTACAAATTCTCCATCTCTACAAGGAGACTCATCAGATTGTACGGATCGACTGGGAATTTGCCCGATGCTGAAATCAAGAGAAATGCTAAATTGCAAAGTGATGTCAACATTCTGTTGCTTGTCTTGCTCTGCCCCAATTACAACAACTACACCGTCTTCTAAATCATCAGACACTTCTCTATGGCAGAGGATAAAATCGATTTTTCAGTGAAAAGAAAAAAATCAATTTTCTAATTAATGAAATTTTGGTGTTTGTATAAATAAATCATTTGAAATTATATGTTTTATTGACAATGAGATCAACCATCTGTTACATAACCTAACACTTGTTTTCAAAGTTATAAAATATCTAAATATTCATAAGTCGACTACTTCTTCTTCTTCTTTCCATTGGAGTGAACGGCTCCAGAAGTGGTTGAGATTCTCGTTTTTTTGCTGCCTGAGTGAACATTCCGCTATCCGCATCTGGTTTTTTACCTGAAATTGTTTTTTTTTAACTTTCTGGATTTTTGTAACATTTTTGGATTCAATTGGCCAAAATGATAATTATGAAGTTGTGAGAACTTGATTTATGAATTTTATTAGTTCTACGTTTTTGGAAAAACAAGTGAACTTCAATCTCTTACCAAAATTTTCAGCATCCTCAATTGTCATAGGAAGCGGAGCACCAAGAGTTTCCGGCAAGAAAAATGTCAGGATTCCAGCCGATAATGCCATCAGACCCATAATCAACAAAGGCAGAATCTTTACTATTTTTCCCTGAAACACAAAAATCTAAAAATCTAAAATTATTATCTCTCACCAAATTAACAATATGAGGAGCCAACAATAATCCAGAACCAGCTACCATACTGCTCATTCCCATTCCAATGGCCCTGACAACAGTTGGATACAACTCTCCAGCAAAAATATAAATAACGGCAAATCCAGATCCAACACCAAACTTTCCAATGAAGGAAGCAGATGCCACAAGCCATGGATATCCATCGGGAACGAACATTGCAGACACACATCCGATTCCACATACAATCATTGTTGCAGCAAGCGTCCAACGGCGTCCTGCGCATTGGAGAAGGGGCCAGACGACAAAGTATCCTGGCAATTCAACGGCTCCGTTTATGATGAAACTCCAATAATCATCAACTGGAAGATTCGAGACGTTCAGAGTCAATCCATTGTAAATTATTGCATTCATTACCCTGGAAAGTATACGAGTGTGATTTGGATGAGATTCGTAAAGATCTCAATTTTTTCTACCAGATGAAAATCTGGAATTCTCAAAATCTCAAAACCCTACCAAATATAAGTAACAATAAAAGTTTTCTTTCTCAAATTTGGTGTTTTAAATAGATCCGTCACATTATGACTCCTCTTTGTTTCCTCTTCTTCTGCCGCGTTTTGATGATTTTTTAGCTGAAAATCCAATTCTAGAATTTTTAATATATCTTGAATTCACTCACACTATCCACCAATTCATTAACATCTACATCCGATTTTCCATTCATCTTTGCAATTTTCTTGAGCTGCGCTTTAGCTTCCGCCCATTTTCCGACTGAAACAGACCATCTGGGAGATTCCGGAAGGAAGAAGTAGTAGCAGAATAAAACAGCAAAAGGAGCATTACAGAAGAATGTGAGTGGACGCCACCTGGAAAAATATCTACAAAGGAGTTCAATTTAGAAGACGTTCTACCTTCTGATGAACATTGCAACCACTCCTAGAAGTGCCATTGCTGCTCCGAAAAACAAAGAAATCATGAGTCCTGAGAAGATTCTTCCAGAATTTCCCATGAACTCCATGCCTGCAAAACTGTTTGTATTCTATTCTTTTGGGATATCATAAAGACACCAGAAAAATCTTTCTAAACTCACAAATGATGAATGGAATCTGGAACAATGCGGGGAATGCCAATCCTGTGAAAAATCTCAAAATAATGAATGACTCGATATCTTTCGCAAAAGAATTCGCCGTTCCACAAACGACCAAAACGATGAGAATCACAAAAAACGAACGACGTCTTCCGAATTTGTCAGCAATGTATCCGAATAAACAGTTTCCAATAAAACTTCCAACATAAAACGATGTGGTAGAAATCTCAACCCACGATTGTTGATCGCAAACCAGATTGAACTGAAAATTGGCAATTTCAATTTTGCTGATTTGGTTTCAGAATACCTCAGTAACCAAACTATCCAGGTATGTCGAATTGTCATAATCCCATCCATTTTGGCATGGAACCAAGTCGATTCTATCACTAAAAATTTACAATATTTGAAAGGTGAATTTGAGAGAAAACTAACCTGTATGTGTCGACTGGAGCAGATGTGAATGCTTGGAAGACGTTGATTTGGGTCTCGTTGTATTGTTTGCATGAAAGAATTTGCTGAAATTCGAAGCCATTGAATGCGTTAAAACCATAAGATGCTTCTATGATATTTGTTTCAATTTATGTCACCAGAAATCAAAAAACTAGGTACCGTATTTTTCATAGAAGCCCACTCAAACCCCTTAATTTGAACTCAATTATATCGATTTCTGTGCCAGATATCAATCATTTGTCAACTGATAAAATGTTGGTGATGTTATGATAAATAGTTTATCAGTTTGCAAATTTTTGATATCTTTTACAGAAATCGAGATAATCGAGATCAACGTAGACTGACTGGGTGGTCTTCTATGCATGAGAGCACAGAGCAAATACTGTAAAGATGATTCTCCAAATAGCAAGCCATTGTAAGTCCGTGGAATGATATGTTTTAAAACACGAAGATAGACTTACAGTATCATTTGTCAATGGTCTCAAATACTCTTTTCCTTCTGGAATACGGCAAGAGTGGGGTGGATTTCCGACAACAAATGGGATATTGAATGCTGAAGTTTTGTTGATTTTAAAAAAGTCTAAAGTTTTCCTGAATCAAATTCAATAAACTAACCTGAAAACGCAGATGGAAGGCTAGCAGGAAGACAAATAATAAAGAAAAACACCAATTGATATGTTCCATAATCACCAACTTGTTCAAGAACATAATCAAAATCTGGGGGTTTTGCAGAAGACATCAGAATGTGTTGACTGATTTCCGCGAATGTATCCTGAGAAAGAAATCAGATGATCGGAGAAAAAAAGAAGAAGAATGAACCAGTTAAGTCTCTTCCTTTTGCTAATTTTTTAGGTGAAAAAGAGATAAAAAGAAAGTCAACGGTTGGGGTCTGGCAAATTGGAAAGGAAAAATGGAAACTTTTAATTTGATAAGAAATTAGAAAAATGAGATCAATTGTCTCATTTAAGGTATGACCAACTTACCATCGCCTGGAACGACATTTTGGGTTGAATTTGAAAATTTTTGGGAGACTTTTTAAAAGATTTGAAGATTCGGGGATTTGAGATGCGCGGATTCTCGGGAAGGAGAAGATGATTGAATATTTGGAAAAGATAATGGAAAAAAGGATAAGTTGAAGATTGAAGTGAGTAACTTGAAATGTCAAGTGGAATGGAAAACTTGCACCCACTGAATTTGTGAAGTATCTCTTATCCGTAGTTTTCGCAAAAAAGGGCGAAGAAGTAAAAATGAGCAAAGAACATGTAAAAACTTTAACATCTAGATCATTACTGTTTTACAGTTAACAAATTGAGGATGAAATTCCGGGACTTAAAAAATAGAATGTCATTTTATTTGTTTCAGCGAATTGTTTGATTCCAAACGGCACATCTCGTCTGGAACATTTTGTAATAAAATTATCAACTACGAGGTTAAAGACGTTTATACCAAACAACTGTCTGGCGAACGTTCGGCGCGATTTGACCTATTTATTTTACTGTTCGTCGCTCTGCTCGTCACTTTTTGACTTCTCTTGCTCAAAATGTCACGTTAAATTATATTTAATTTTAAATCGTTTCTATTTTTTATTCAAGTAACGCAATAGATCAATAATTCAGTTAATACTATGTCACGCCCCCTCCTTCTGTACACGTTTGAAAAATTCCACGCATTGAAAACAAATCAGTTCTCTGTAAAATTACACTCTTTGAATTTTATTGTTGGATAATTTTCACTGGCACTTTCTCACTGCTAAGAAGCTCTTTGCATTACGCTGCTTGTTGTTGTTTCTTTTGCTTTTTTCTGTCGATTGATCCTATGTGAAAAAGTACTAAAAGGCCCCAAGGGTCGCCATGTTCTGGGGTTCATGGCTAGGTGTTTTTCACTGAACGTCCCCCAGTAGTAAGAGATTTTATCAATGATTAAAAAAATTGAGACAACAATTAAAAGCGGTATGCAATGTGGCTTCTTACCGGAAAGAGAAGGAGCTTTTGAAAATTAACCAACAATGGTCTTCGAAAAGAGGGGTTTTTCGGTGGACTTCTTGTTGGGGACCCCTCCCTCCACCCCCTATGGGTTTTAGAAGGTGATCCCATTGGCAAATAAACCTTGTTTTCCTTTCATGTACTGAGCCTCTACGTGGCGAAAGGGATCAACAGACGAACACCAGGCTACCGATCACTTTGAGCATTTTGGAGGATGTGAAATTTACTGACTTTTTCTGGATTTAAAATACTGAAAAAATTTTACTTACAAAAACTGGGTTATCATGTAAAACGCACATTTTCTCTCTTGAGCTTCTAAGTAACCCAGATCTTCTCAACGTTTTTTATAAAATCTAGATCGTTTTCGAAGACTCAAAACACATGAGTAAATTCAGGAAAACCCTTAAAAGGACATGACGATTTAGAAAATAGATGATTGGTAAATGATGAGCTAGAACGGCAAAGTGTCGTTAAAGATGATGAAAAAAAAAGAACAATGAAGATGAGGAGGACAACTATGAAAAGGACGAATTTGAATAAGAAAGATTTAAAGCATACTTGCAAAATCAGGGCCCGGCCCGCGGGCCTGGCAGGGCCGGGCCGAAGATCTCCAAATTTGAAAAAAATTTGAAACTTCAGACATTTTTTCAAATTTTTTTGTGAAAAAACTATTTTTCATGGAACTTTTATCTTGAAAGTTTTTTACTTGACAGAAAAATCGTCCATTTTTTCAGTTGACCCCGAAATTTTTTTTTGAAAAGACAGGAAAAATGTTTCTGAAAACCCGGGCCGGGCCTTGAAAATTCTGAAAAAAGCCCGGCCCGGCCCGTTGCAAGTATGATTTAAAGGGAGAACAAACTATTCATTAACATAGTTTGTAGTTTTCAGTCAGACCAATTTCTATGAAAATGAATAATTAACATTGTAGTTCGTAGTCTGTAGTGAGACCAGTTTTTTAACAAAATAATTTTGTGATTAATGGTTTTGCCCTTTTTAATGATTTTTTCTAGAACTTTGAAATAATCCAGAAAACTAATCTGGGTAACAAGAAGATTGAAATAAAATTCTAACTCAGCAAGAAAAATAAGCTCACTATCAGAAATAATTCACACCAAGTGACCCAATGAAATCCACAGCTGTTGATTTTCGCTCAAGAATCTTGTGATTAATGATTTTGCCCTTTTTCTTGACATTTTTGATTAAAATTACAACTCTTGTTCCAATAATTTATTTATCGAATGAAGTTTATTTTATACTCTTCCGTATCCCCGGAATTTTGCGAATTATCAGATTCTCCAGTTTCTGGATTCTCCGATGACGATGGATTTGGAGGCACTTGATGAGGTTCTTCACGAGATTTCGGAGACCGTGTCGGAAGGATTGTTGGAACAGATGGAGATAATGTGGGGGTAGTGGAGGTTGAAGACGTCAGAGGGAAAATAGTTGGCGATGGAACAATGGTATCAGTTAATGGAGTTCCTAATGAAGTTCCCGATCGTGATGCAGACCGACGAGGACATGGACAGTATCCTAGAAGAAAATGAAGTGGTTTAAATCTGAATGATTTTGAAAGCATACCAGAATCAAAACCTGGAACTCCTTGTTTTCCCGGAATTCCATCAGGACCCTCTTCCGCTCGATCTCCTGCATTTCCAGGTGGTCCCTCTGGTCCTTCGGTCCATCTTGCCCGTTTTCTCCTGTCTCTCCAGTAACTCCAGGCATTCCAACTTCTCCTTCTGGACCAGGTGGTCCTGCTGGTCCTGGAATTCCAACACCACGTGTTCCATTGTTTCCTTGCTTTCCATCCTCTCCTGGAGGTCCAGGGAACCCAGGGAATCCGATAAATCTGAAAGGACTAGCGCTCTGTGTACTCACTTGTTTTCAGAACTCTTACCCTGGCTCCCCATCAGTTCCCGGTTCTCCATCTTCTCCTGGTTTTCCTGGACTTCCTGGTTGCCCATCTTCTCCTTTCTCTCCAGCTGGTCCATCTTCACCTGGTGGTCCTGGCTCTCCAGCGGTACAGGGTATACACTCGACTGGTCCAATCATTTCCTTAAACACATCCATTCCATCCGGTCCCTTTCTTCCTTGTTGTCCGTGTGGTCCATCTGCACCTTTTCTTCCAGGTCTGCCACGTGGACCGTGTGGTCCTGCTGGACAATTGATAGCTGGACCAGTGTCACAATCACATGGATCTTTTTTGGAATCATTCGGAGTTGTGGTGACGCCACGAGGTAGACGGGCAGCTGGTAGCATATCTTCCCATGCACCGTTTGCATAGAGCTGGAAGTTAGAGAAATTTTTTCAGTTTTCTAGTGAGCTCCGTTCGGCCGGGAAATTTGACCGCCCTGCCGGCCGCCGACCGAATTCGTGCGTTTGCGAGTCGGCATGCCAGAGAGTGTTTGCGTACGCAGCATTTTATTTTACGACACACGGTGCATATTTTGATTTTGCAAATCGGTCGGCGGTCGGGAGGCGTTCGCCGATTTTCAACCGACCGAAATTTTAGTTATCAAATCGTTCACTAAAGAATTTTTCACACAATTTGAGATGAATTTCAGATAATAAAAGTTTCAAAAACATAGATTACTGTAGGACTACTGTAACAAAAAACGTTTAGAGTGACAAAAATAAAATATGCCATCCACACAAAAAAGATCTCAAAACCAAACCTTGAACTCTTCCATTCCATCCATTGCCTGCATATGCATTTGTGCAACTTCGTAGAATAACGAAACAGTACAAGTCAACATTGGAATCAGAAACGCAGCACATATTACAGTGACACCAGAAGCCACCTGGGTACCGTAACCCATGATGATGGCAATGGCAACTACTGATCTGTTTGTCTTTCCTTCTGATTCCTTTATATGCACGTTGGCATCAAACGGTGATTCGTTCGGAGATGGCAGAAAAAGAAGGCGAAGGCATTCGATTCATTTTATCCGCATAACGTCTTCTTGTCATAAAATAAACAGTCATAATCATCTTTCTAGGCACTAAATACATAGGGATAATAACAATTACATTCAAACTTCGGAAGGACAGAAGGAAGGCGACCAGCGTATTGAAAGGAGGAGAAAACGGTTGGGTGGAAAGAAAGAAGAGAAAGTTGGAAGTGATCAGAATTGAACGTAATAAAACAAGAAAAAAGAAATGTGGGTATTCAGACAGAGTTAAGAGGGGGACTTTTGTAAGTAGTTGAGTGAGTTTTAATGAGAAAATGAAAGTGAGTCGACATTTAGAGAGAAAAATAATTACAATCGTTCAGTTATCGAAAAATCATCATCGCTGTTGTATTCGAGTTTCGCGATTTCCTGTTCCAAATAGTTTTGTCGTTCGAGTAGCTCTACGTGGCGTTGGTGTTGAGGCCAGCGACTCAGAAGCTCATGTCTGAAAAGAGGATGTATTCTTCATAACTCTCAAATTTTCAATTTAACTTTTTGAAGCGAAATTACTCAAAACGGAACTCAGCCGTTTCTAGTGCAGCTTTGAATACAATCTCAGTTTTTTTCTCGAATTCAGATTTTTTGAAATCCCAATTCCGAACCATTCTCTAAAAACTCACTTTGCTCTTAGGACTTCCTTCTTGAGTAGAAGCGCATCCGCGTATTCTTTATTACTACTACAGTGTTGATGGAAAATATCTAGAGATGCCTCATCTCGTGCATCTGGATCGACGGGCTGAAAAATACTTTTATTTTCAAAGATATTCAAGTATTCTCTGATTACTCTTGTATCATCGTTTCTCAATAATTCCATGAAAATAGCATCTTTTTCGTTGCTTTCATTGCTATCTCTTCGATCATCAATCGGAATTGGTGGTGCATTTCTATGTGGATGTCTGCAATAAGAATGGCTTTGATATTTCGCAATGTGCCAAAGAAAGCATGCCATAGAAAGAGAGACGTATTTCGAAATGCTACCCTCTCTCATTGCTCATATTTCCATACCTTTGTCCACTTTGAGACCGTCCTGCATCTCGTAGGTTTTTCGCTTCACTTTGAGATCTTGGCCCTCTGAATGCGCCACTAGAGGATGCAGCAACTTCTCCTGGCATCACTGGATATGGCAGTTCCTAAAGTGTTCAAATTTTCAATCTACGTTTTTTCAAAATTTTTCAAATTTCGAAACATACCGGTTTCATCTGAATAGTCTCACTCCTATTCCTTCTGTGAGTATTCACTGCTTGTGGTGCGTTCAAATGATTCGAGGCGGTTGGTGTTCTTCCATTCGTTCCTAAGCCACTTCCAGATGCTGAACCAAGACCGGAAGGTCGATGAACACGTGGCGGAGGAGTTTCAACAGGCCGGTTGGTGTTTGCATCAGCCAGAGGGACATTGCCGTTTGGATATTCCTGCAATACGCATTTTGTGAGTTGAAGTTCTAGCTTAGCTGAGAAGTACCGTTTTTAAAGCAGTAAAGTATTGAAGACATTCAGCTGCAGTAGGTCGAGACACTGGGTCATCATGCCAACACTGCTTATAGAAATCGGATAAAATTGGATTACAATCAAGTTCGGGCGGTCGCAAACTAGCTGTCGCAACGTTATACAACAATCCAGGCACTGATAAATTCCGATTATAAGGATGATTTCTGGCGATCATTTGCCACATTATAATCCCGATGCTGTAGATATCCGATTTCTGGTTATACTCCTCACAACGAAACACTTCGGGAGCCATTGTGATCGGAGTTCCACGATTCGAAGTCATTGATTGATGCATTGCAGTGAAAGTTCCAAAATCACACAGTTTCATCGTTCGATACCGATCGCAAAGCAGCATGCTGTAAGAGATTTGAGTGAGTCTTTTCAACCAAATTTCACTCACTTCTGGAGCTTCAGGTCTCTGTGTACTTGATCATTCCGATGAAAAGTATTCACTGCAGAAGCCATTTGATAGAGCCACGACGCAACATGATCAATCGTATAGTCAATGCTTTTCCGGTCGTAAATCACTGAAAGTTGAAGCTTTGAGTAATTAGCCTCTGAATGTGGCTCAAAATTGCATCAAAGCTTCCAGATTCTCAGCAGATAAATTAATTAATTTCATCGTTTTTTTAAAAATTATAGTCAAAGTCCCACAAAATCAGGTGAGATATCAATGGAAGACTAACACTCTGACATGCTTCCACAGTCCATGTACTCCATCACGACTCCTTGACCGTGGCGTGCATCTCGATACAATCCGTATATTCTGAAATTCGTGAGTTACAGCCTAGATTTGATAGTGAAACCTTACTTAATGATATTGGAATGATCTCGCAACGCCCACATCACTTTTGCTTCACGAATAAGAGTAGCCAGATGGATTGGAGATGAATATTTGATAGCCGCCGGTCTGAAACCTTGGAATACTCGGTGAGCGGTTGTCAAAGCTTCTTATATTTACAATAAACCTTTTCCACTATTTTCAGAATAATTTTTAGACTTCAATCGCAATAATTACCTATATTCATGATTCCTGGATCTCCTATATCTAGTTTTTTCGACGATTCCATAGGTACCCCTCCCTAATTGATGGCTATTCAGATTATCGATACAATGAGTTGGAATTTCGGGAATATCCTGTGTCATGCAAAGACCAGAGTCTCGTGTTTTTCGTGGAGCAGTCTGAAAAATTAGATTATTTATTCGATTTTTACTACTTCACCGAAAGATTGGCAGATTTTCAGAATTTCTAATGGATCCTTTCAGTTATGTTCAACGTGATTTATATTATCATTCATTACTGATAACAGAACGATCCGTATTTTCAAACAACTCCATTTCGACCTATTTTCTGACAAAAATCGCATATAATAGACTTACAACGGGCGCTGGACTTGGCGAATGGCTCGACTGACTTGCCGAACTGCTTGACGGCTTACTATGCGGTGAAGTGTCCATTTTAGAGCCAAAACTGTGAAAAAATTGGCAATGGACAACGGCGATTGCCGACAAACGGCATGTGTTGTGTGTATGCGTGTACTCTCCTTTCTCTCGCCCGTTTTTCGCAGTGGGAAATAGTGGAAGAGAAACAGTGTACGCGGCGAAGAGGTTGCAGACGAGAAACAGCAGAACGGGAAGTACGGATCGCCGAAATTCGAGATAGGAGAAGCGATTCCAAACTGTTGTCGAGATTAAATTATAGTAGCATTCTGAAATAAACTTTGTCATGAATGAAGCGGTCAGAATTGTTCCAGTGTGTTTGAAAAGGATGATGTCTAAAAAAGGAAAGGAAGTTTATCAGTTATATTGCTCCACAAAACGTTAGACTTGTGCGAAACAGTTCAGATTACACAAATGGCTCAACGAAGATGACTCACTCATTTTAATATAAAATTTGTTAAGTTCGTAATTTCCAGGTTAAAATTGTCAACTAAATCATAGAATTCACACGAGATACACACAACGTTTGAGTATTTTGGTCAGAAGTTATGATTTCAAGATAAAATTGAAAAATGGATCAGAACAGAAATTCCAGCCAAACTTTCAAAGTGAATATTTTGACCCAACTTTTTGTGAATATGTTCCCTATAATTTTCTCCTATTTTCTCCGAATTTTTCAGCCAGTTTGGTTCATTCTCCGAATTTCTGCGGAATTTTTCGTTTTTTCTCTGCGTTTCTCTACATGTTGGTGAATAACCCCAGTATAATTTTCAATTAAAGCGAACACTCAACACCTGAAAAGCCTGAAAATCCGAGAAAAAAATTAATTTAAAAAATGCACGGTATTAAAGGCGCACGCATTGAACGGATGTGGAGGTTTCGGAACGCAAAAAAACAAACACCGTAGTCCTAAAAATATTGAAGACCTTCGGCAAGAATATGCAAAGCGATGGTTTTTTTTGACTTGAATTTTTACAAATAAATTCTGAAAATGAATTTCCAGATGTCTCTATTAGATGACTCTCGAGATGACTCGTATGCAGGAGATGAGTACGGGGGCGATTTGAGTGTGAGTTTCTGCTTTAAAAGTTTCAGCGATGACTTTTGAGAAACCGTACGAAATAGTTAGAAACTCAGCAAAGATAAACGAAAAAGGAATACAGATGTTTTCTGCCATGCCATGAATTAGTACGATGGAAAATAACTTCGCACTTTTACCTATTCCGTTTCTCATTGTTCAGTTTCTCGCGTTCTCGCACGGGTTGAATTTTTACAATTTACAGTACCCTTACCAACATGAACAACCTCCTCCGTATGCTGTTCATCAGTGCAATGTGTGTAATAAGATTTTTATGAATTATAAAGGTAAATCAAATAGATCAAAGTAATCACTAGATGAGCAATTTTTATTTCAGGTCTCCAGCAGCATTCCGTGATTCATACTGACACGAAACCATTCTTATGTGAAGTCTGCGGTCGTGGCTTTCGGTTTAAGTCGAATATGTTTGAGCATCGTACAGTTCACACTGGTTACACTCCTCACTTGTGTCCATTTTGTGGAAAACAGTTTCGATTGAAAGGAAACATGAAGAAGCACATGAGGACCCATGTGACCAACAAGGAAGAGCTCGAGGCTGCTTACAGACCATACTCAAGGTTTGCCAAGAGGAACATTTTTCTTTTGTACGCACACGGATAATTATCTGAGTACCTCCAATATTGCAGCAATCGGCGCCAAACTGCGATTATTCCGGAAAATGCTCTGGTCATTCGAGGATCGCCTGTTCCATACTTTCCGGTGGAGAAGCGACGAATGCCTCTAAAACTATCATTGGGAACGGATTCGTCGGATTGGGTGAATTTGATTCGCCGGAATAAACTGCTTCCTATGATGGCATTAAATGAAAAGCTGCTTCGAGCCAATATGCGGTTGGGTGGACCTATCACGTTTTACCAAATGATTGAGAACTCAAAGCCACTGGAGCTCGAAATGTAAGAATTCGTTTTTTTCGTTTCTCTAATCTTTAAATTTTCAGGTTCCATTGCCCGATTTGTAAATGTGAATGTGCCGGAAAAGAGATATGCGAAGAGCATATGTACGTTTCACACGGAAGAAAACCCGAGGATTTTCTTGATGACTCTCGCTATTGTTACGTCAGTTTCACATTTATCTGTCTACCTAATTTTTAAATTTCAGAAATGCATGCGCATGTTTGTCGACAAGGAGATGTATGACCAACATAATAGTTACCATGGCAGAGTTCATATGATGATAGCGAACCGGGAACTTGAAAACAATGTTAGCCTGTTTGCCTTTGAAATTTCCTGTTTTGAGCTTTTCTTTTCAGACGGTGCCACCAGAAGTAGACATGTCCCAGTGTTTCTACAACATGCTCGCTAACCATACGAACGACTTGGTCGTCTCTAAACCATCATCTCCATCAATTCTCTGAAAGCTTTATCTGTTCCCATTGTCCATCTATTGTCATTGTTAACCTTGTCTTTTTTGTTGTTAGAATTTGATGTTTCATCTTGAAAAATAATAGGATGGATTTTATATCAGTTTTCAAAAATTATTAATACAAAATAATCGCAAAAAATCATCAAAAATAATATTATGAGAGAGAAAGAGACGGATTTCAGATTTTAGAATTAAAGCACAACCAAAGCAATCAGAGGAGAAGACAAAGTTGGGAATGTTGGAATGGTGGTAAAGCTTGAGTAATGAGAAAAATGAATTTTGGAATGAAATGATAACTAGAACAACACAGGGTAAAGGGATATCAATATCATATAACGATCTACTGAAAAGAAAATTTTGGGATTCAGAAGTTTGACAGGGAAATAGTTCTAGTATGGACAGACACACGTTTTGAATTTCGCTCCCAAATGTTGAGAGAAAGAGAAGAAGTAAGAAAAGAAAGAAAACGGGAAGCAGATGTTTTTCGAAGGAAGGGCACATAACGATTGAGACGCTGGGAAGCCTGTACTGCACAGAGTGGGAGGAACAGTATGTGGGAATGAGAGACGCAGACTTGGGAACGATGCAGGTGGCTCATTAACCGGAAGAAAATGAGTTTCACACAGAGGCTGTTGAAATGATAGGCTTCTAGGAAATTTTGGGTTTTCGTCGTTTCATAATCCTTGTTCAAAAGTTCCCCTGTTTTTCTAGGAGATCCATCACTCATAAAGAATTACACCTCATGTATACAAAAACAACAAATAAACTCTAGAGAGCTCTCTCATCAAGCATATACCATATTGTACAATTCACTTGACGAAGAAGGAGAGAAAGAAAAAAGGTCAATGACCGAATAAAGTATAACTGGCAAACTCGGACTGTGCAATCTGGCGACATCTGCCATTTTCTTAATACGGTCACTCTCATTCTTCTTTCCCTTTCCTCATTCATCCGTGTCTGTATATCGACATGATTGATGATGACGGTGACCACCGGGCGTAGGGAAGAGAGAAAACTACATACCGGAAAAAATAGAGAGACGCAGAAAAATAAATCAGTTTGAATGGGATTATAAAAACTATTTGGGAGAGGGAGTCCTAAGATATTGGAAAAGGGTATTATAAAGTAGCTTAGAATCCCTGTTGGGATTGAAATTGTGCCAACATCAGCTGAGCGAGAAGGGCGTTCTGATTCCCGAAATAAGCAGTTTGTGGCGAGTGGAACTGTGGAAACTGGACCGGTTGTTGTGGTCCGGTCATTTTCATAAGAGTCTCAGAGAGTCCAGGCATTCCAAGAAGTAGGGAAGATGGCGACATCTTCACTTCTGCAGGAGCAGGAGCCACTTTAGTTGGAGTCGATGGAACTTCGGGAATCGGAGCAACTACTACAGCTGGAGAATCACACTTCACTGGATCTTCTTTGACAAGAACTGGAATCTCATCAGTTGTTGTTTCCACATCGATTTCCATTTCATTCTGAAAAATTAAACATTTTATTTACAAAACAGAACGGTACGGTTACTGTATTACCTCTTTCTTGGATTCCTCCTCAAGTGTGGCTAGTGGTTTAGCAAATTGCTTCAGGAAAACATCCATGACTTGTCTGAAAACAAAAAATGGTAAAATCGAGACTCCAGTTCAGAGATCTTACCCAGATGGAATGAATCCAGCTTGAGCAGCAGCTAACAATTGCTGAGTAGAAAGTCCAGCTGGAAGACCAGTCAACGTCAAATCCAATGGACATTCATCTCCCAAATTGATTCCCTTTGGTGGAGTTTTTGTACGATTTGGTGTTGCTTTGAGTCCCTTTCTAGCTAATTTTTCCTGATGAGCAATCGGACATCCGGACAAACTTCGATGCGATGTTCTATTTCCATTGACATGTCCCTTTCCTGAACATCCGGCCGTTGTGCATCGAAGCACCGTTTCTTGACGAAGAGCAAGCACTGCAAAGCAAAAAGTAAGTAAGTGAGAAATGCGAATATCATCAATCTTGGGGCAGTGAGCAGTCACAGGAGCAGGAGTCAACTAGTGGTGTGCTACTTCTATTACCAAGTATGAAATGCATGAGATCCCATTAATCTTCTCCTTTGTTTTTGAGACTTACTTTGAATCACATTCTTGTCTGGTCGACGCGGACATCCGGACAAACTTCTGTGATGGGTGTAGAGGCCAGTTTGATGACCGGATCCATCGCATCCCGGAGTTGGACAAGCCAGTTTTCCTTCTGAAAGTTGGGACTTAAAGTACTGATATGGAAAATTTGTGCGAGTGTTTGATTGATGAATAACACAGGTGTGATGAGTGGGTTAATAGAAGGATTAGTTCGGTTAGTTTTTTTTAGGAAAAAAAAACAAGAGTGCAAGTGTATTTCTCTCCATTTGAGGGGAAAATAAGGAGCAGAAGAGGAAGAAGACGTGTTGTGTTGGGTAAGAAATATAAACTTAATGGAATTAGAGAATATATCCATGAAAGAAAATGCGACGACCGACAAGTTACCACTTCAACTTTCTATATATTCTCAGATTACATATTTTATTAGTTGTGTGTTATTAGAGAGTTAGTAGTTCCAATTTCAGTAGGCCTTCTTCTGTATTTTGTCCCAACTTTCGACAAATAAACCTACCACGTCTGATGCTCCATGAGTAGCCGGTTCCTGGTGATGGAATCGATCCATTTGGAGTGAATGGGATGGTTGGGGTGGTGGAGATTGAGAGCTCATCGGTGAGGCTTGTCTGGAAAGTAAGAGATGGTATGGTAACTTATAATAAGAAACCAAAATCTGGCTACACGGATGCAATCGTAATGGATCAAGTGTAAAACAAAACAAACCTGATTCAATGGAGACATGACACGAGATCCACAAGTCTCTGATCCCGAATGTGGTGGAGTCGAAGCCGAAATTGGTGACTTTGGAAAATCCGACGAAACCATCATCATATTGAGTGGGCTCTGGAAGAAAAAATAGGTGTGAAAAACAATAATAGTAATCCATCAAAGTTGGTGGTCCTAGTGTCTTTTCCTCATATCCCCCTTCTCTTCTAGTAAGAATAGAATCTTTGGTGTCATTGGTCACGCAATGTCATCTCTCTTGCCTTGTATGAGTGGTAGAACAAGGTGTTTTGTAGGCTCCCAAATATATAATTAAAGTTGGTAGATGGGGCTTCGTGACACGAAAAACTCATAATTCTAGGTCCCATGACTCTTTCTTTTCGAAGTTGCCATTTTGAATTTTCGTATGTGTCCATTTTGAGTTCATAAATATGCAACAAGTCCTACTTTTCTACCGTTTGAATGTGTTTGTGTCTTCTCAGTTTCACTCAAAATGCAAATTTCATTCTTTTCCCCCTTCCTTTACCTTTGACGACGATGAGCACGACGACGTCTGAGCTGCCACGACACCACCATCAGAAGATGTCAACGATTCGACATCAGATGGTGACGTTTCCGAGTGTTGTGATGTAAAGTTTCCAGATGTCAAAATTTCGAGATGCTTTTGAAATGAAGGCGTCAAGAACTGTGAGTAGAGGAACGACGGAATGCCACTGTTCGACGACGCAATTGATGAAGAGGAGGTGACGACATCTGCCGATTCGGCGGTCTGAAAAATAATAGTTGTTGAAGAAGAAGAAGGAGAAAGATTGGCTAAAGAAGGGAAAGGAGATGGTTATCTCAAAGGAAGCAGATGTACAGAGGGCACATGTTCCTCTTCATCTCAGCGGAGGTATAAAAAAGTTGTTAGGTAATAGTTCGGAACGATTCGGAACAGGTGCTCGCATCGTCGTCAGCTGTCTTTTCTCCATATAAACCGATCCAAGGACAAGCAAAAATTTAATTGCTTATGTATAGCCTATTCAAACCACCCCTAGATGGTTATCCTTCGCCCCGAAAGTCACCTGCTCGTTTGTCTTTATATCCGGAGATGTGGTTGCTGTGGTTGTGTCACAAGTCATCTCGTCCTCCTTCTGATTCTCCTTATTCGGAGTTTCGGTGTCTGATGATGAGCACGTCGGTTGAAGATGAAGCTCTCCTTCTGAGACACGAACGATGTCTTTTGCTGCAAAAGTCAGGTTAATCATTGAGCGGTAATGGATTTTCATAATTATTAGGGGTCGAGAAAAATGAGGAGGATGCGATGTAGAAGAAGAACATCTGCCATCTAGGAGATGTTCTGACATCTGAGAAGAAGAAGAAGAGGACGTGCATTAGAAAAAATAGTTGAGTGGTAGGTTAGAAAAACCAACAACAGCAATCGTGATTACTCTAATAGAGTGCCACCCAAACCGTAAACTTTGAGCCCATATATCTCGGTTCCTGTGAAAGGATTCAAAAAATAGTCAACTGACAAAATATTGTTGATATTATGATAAACATTTTGCCAGTTGACAACTTTTTGATATCTTCTACAGAAAACGAGGTATATGTGTTCAAAGTTTCAAAAACCATTCGAGCTACGCGGTCGATTTTTTTTTTGGCGTTTTGTAACTTTATTCATAGATACAGTTTTTTTAAATAATTTAGTTTTGTAGCACTTGAGTTTTTCTATCACATTCAATTTAGTTGGTCAGAAAAAAATAATTGTAAAAAAAACTATGACATGGATGAAAGAAGATACCAATGGTTACTTTCGAAAGGGCCACGAAAAGTTCTTCACACTGTCAAGTACAGTAATCTCAACACCTATTCAATCTCCATATGTCAACACCACCAAAAAAATCTTTATTTTTCCTTTCCTAATCCATACCATATGCCTTTTGTAAAACACAGACGGTTCCAGAGGGCCCCCACACATCAAAAAGAACGAATGAATGCATGATTAATGAGGCAGGACCTCTGAGATCACCACTTGCGGTAAAAAAAAACTACAATAGACTGGGAGGAGAAGGGAGGAAGCTTTTGATTGAACAAGAAAAAGAGGAAGTAACCAATGAGCCGAGTCTATTTTTCAAAAAGGAGACCGCCGACGCATGGATGATGTAACCCCTCTTTTTGGGAAGCACAATTGGTACAATTATCAATCGGAAAATGGGAATAAAAAGGGTGTCCAGGTCCGGAAATCACTACTTGTCGGTGTTCCCTTTTCGGAGCCAATATTTGCCTAGAAACGGGAAAAAGAAGAAAAAATGAAGGTGTTTCTTGGCAGAATCGATGCGATGAGGTAGATAAGATGAAGTTTTGATTTGTGTAAAAACTTTCTAGTCTTTTTTTTCTCAAGATAATCCGTTTCGATACTTTAAAATAGTTTCAAGAGAAATAAATAGTTTCTAACAGAGTAGCTCACAGGAGTAGAAATGCAAATAAATTTCAGCTAATTTCAAAAGTGCCACCACCCTTCTCCAAGTTTTTCAAAAACTTGCCTTCTGCCCCAAACAGTCTCCGGGAGAGAACATCTGGCGGCAGATGGGCATCAGGAAGGGGGGGGGGTCTCTGAGATTTGAGAAGAACTTAACATCAGACAGAAAAAGGTCACGAATTTGGAAGTAAAGAACTAAACGAGAGAAAACCGTGTGGCTGGCGGCTGTTCAAACTTTTGAGTTGGGGCTCTTCTCCATGTTAATATTGGTCATCAGAGAAGCTTCTGTGACCAGTAGTGGAACGGGAAAAGTACAACTAAAGGTGGGGATTTGTTATTTGGCCAGCTGCCTTGGTCCCCATCTAGTCAAGACTGTCCGCGAGCGGGGTGGCCATATTTAGATTTTGACCATCACACCGTAGTACTAGTACTAGTAGCGCTTTTGTAAATAGTACTGCTGCTGGTTAGCAAATCAAACTATTGGATTTTTTGAAAAAAAAAAAAATTCTAGAACAGTGGGTCAGAAACATCGACCCGGGAAACGAGTATGAAAGAGAGGAATTGAACTTTTCTGATTTTCGAAAGTGCTCACTCTAGAGCTCTTGCTCCTGACACGACTACAACATAATGCGATTTGACGTGGCGCCACGACAAGAAGCAGATCAGCGGGTAGTATTCAGGGAGAGTTGAAAAAAAACAGATGACGGGCTGTCTGAATATCTAGAGAGAATCAGATGACAGGGGATTATGAGGAAATCTAGCACCTAAAGTAGTTTCCCACAAGAAACTTTCTCACTATTATGCAAACAAACTCAAATGTGCTAATTGCCGACAACTTTACTCACTTTCTGGCTTTCTACGTCTTTTTGCTGGTGGTCCTGCACTATCCGAACAGTCGGACGCTGTCGAATCTGGAGAAATGGATCCGTCAGTATGAGTGTCTGGAGGTGTTGGAAGTGATTGAGATGACTTCATAAGGATGGACATCAAATTGACGACGTTGGAATCGTAGGGATTCTCCAGAAGATTTGTGGATGTGGTAGATGACATTATCTTTGGAAGAATGAGGTAAAAATATGCGATAGAAGGATACCTGGAAAGATCAGAAGAATTGGAAAAAAAGCACAGAACAAAAGTAAATCAGAACGAAAGAGCAAGGAATAAAAAGAACGACCACCAAGACTACTTAAGGAAAGTATAGGAAAACGGGGCGGAGAAAGAATGCTTGGGACACCCACCATCTGCTTGGCGGCGTTGGCTTGGTGGTGCACCTGGCATCATGCATTGCGCGCACGCTCTTCTATATGAAACTCCGCCCACTATTGGACAGTAAATGGGGTTGCGTCTTGTAAGGAAAAGAAGGACGTTCACAAGTTAATGCTTGGAGCAGAATGAACGGGACAGGTGTGGAGACGAGAAATGAATAATGGGTGAGGTATTAGAATGATGGGAGAAAGAAAGTTGAACGGCTTATAATAACAGTTTCTGTTGCGTCGAGACTTGAGAATCCATCAAGTGACACCTGATCAGGTAACAATGAGGGTGAGAGGGCAGATGACTATGGGGATGGGAAAGTTCAATTAGTGTGAATGGGAATCACTATTATCGTGGTACTGAACTTCCGAATTTCGAGGCTTCCAATATAATCCATGCTGGTGTGTAGAATCCGTAAAACATCAATATACCGTACTTCACTTTGAGCTCATATATCTCGGTTCCTGTAAAAGATATCAATAATTGGTCAACTGACAAAACATGTCTAATGCTATGATGAACATTTTGTCAGTTGATTACTTTTTGATATCTTTCACAAAGGCCGAGATATCTCAGCCTAAAGTTGACGGTTTGGGTGGGCTTCTATCAGAGGAAATACGGTCTCTTGGCTTCCTGAAGTTTTACAAAAACAAAACAATAAACTTCCAGTTCTGAAGACTAAAATTTCATTCTAAAATGTTTTATGTTCCAGTTAACCTTGCATCTTCAAATCAGGTTAGAAATAGGCAGAAAACTTTGTCTCAACGTATTTGGCTCAACGCTTTTTCTAAATGCTCGAAACCTAGATTTCAGGTTTCGAGATCACTAAAAAGTTCAATCGAACCTAGAATTTTGGATTTGAGCTCTAAAACTCCGAACTTGACGAACCATGCCGAGTGCAAACGCGGACGGAACCCTAGACCTACTGATAAACCACTTTTCTTAAATCCTAGAAACGTTCTAAAAAGTTCCAGGTCCTCCCAAATTCCCACGTATCTTCTCATGACTAGGTGTTAGATCCTTGCCCCCTGACAGTTCGTTTCACACCCCTCAAACTCTCAAGTGTCAGCCGGAAGATCTCGTGAGAAAAGTTTCGAATTCTTAATTCATTCTAATCTAGTTGATCAAGATACTCGACTCGGCCTATCCACAAAAGGTAATAAAATATGATCTAGGGGATTGATTGCCTTAGTTTGAAGTGCACTTAATAAAGAAGTTTAGATGACACAGTAAGTGATGACGTGGCAATAAAGGGTTATGTAAACAAAGGAGAATGATGGATACGATACTGACAGTTTGAATCAGCAAAAACTAGAGAAGGGGTTTATGAAATTCAATCATAATATCTCGGAAATCATGTACAGTAGAACCACGTGGCAGATTCTAAAAACAAAAACCGCCTTCATCCATCATGAATCATAGAATCATGAAATTCGAAAAAAAAAAACAAAGTTGATGAGAGAAGAAGAGTTGGAAAAGAAAAAGCAAGGACGGCTCCCCCTACTCCACTCTCTTCTTTTCTTCTAACCAATAGTTGGGGGAAATGGGCGGAGTCAAAAAAAAGGCTTTGTTGGGAAAAAAAAACGAATCTAGGTCAGGTTAGATACAGAGTTACTGACTGGGACGGAGAAGGACCAGATTCTAAAAGTACGAGGTAATAAATGTTTCTAGAACGAAAAGTGCACTCGCTGCTCTTCTTCTTCATATTCATGACCGATTTATTATCGTCCCCATGTCCCACAAATGTAAAACTAAGAAAAAGTTGGGGAGGTCGCTTATGGAGTAGAAATAAAACAAAGAATGAAAATGTTGGTAGAAGGAGAGAGAGAGAGAAAAAAGAGCGATATATCTATAGAAAATTGAATTAATATGAGGGAAAGAAGAAGAAAATGGGAAGGAAGAGGGCGCCAAGATGGATGACGAGTTTTTGGGAATGGGTAAATGAGAGAAGAAATGAGAATAACCAACTTTTTTGGGATCAAAACTTTTAAAATTTCTTCAAAAATTCAAAGTTGTAGCCTATAGGAAAGTGGGCCAGAAGTGGTAGATCAAATTTCACAAGGATACAGGAAATGAAGGTAGGTATACCCAACTTATTGGATGACGGAAGTTTTCGATAGAGCTTGGCCCACAATAACTTTTGTCTCTTATGTCATATGGATACTGAATGCAAGACCCAGGATTTCGAAACGAATGAGACTTTTTATCTGAATTTCATCCGTGTCGATTATGAAGTAAACAAAAAGAAAATTGAAATAACAATGATGTTTTTTAATTGTTTTTTTCTGAAATATGAACATTTCGATGACTCAGCTAAGCTTTCCAATCACTTGACGGAAATCATGAACCACAAAAAAAACTATCAACGTCCAAAATGACGGGAGTTTAGCATCAACAGTTTAGGCATCAACGGACCAGGGATTACTAGTGTGACTGGCTGAAACTAGGCATTTGGTTTTTACAAATTATGGACAGTTATAATAGATGACATCGCTCGGCAAAATTCTCGATTTGAAATCCTAGTGATCTGGGCAACGTGCCTTAAATCTTGACGATTCTTCAATACCTGACCCGGACTTGAGCTGGGCTCGGAGCGGGCCGGGCCGGGCCGGGCTGGACTAGGCCTTGAAAAAACGGAGCAAGAACTGTTACAAAAAACGGCAGCAAGAACTGTTACAAATATGCCTGAAACTGAGCTTACACCACATTCTCGCCAAAATATAATAAAAACATCAGATTGTTGATTTCTGTTTTCTTCATTGCGCAAGCGTTGCGAGACCCAGCATGATAGCCACTCGTGATTGTGAAATCCTATATTTTTCCATCGATTACTCACCCACTAAAATCCTTCTATTTTATTTTGGATTCCACTTTCCCATTAATGTTTTCCAGAATTGAATAATTGAAAGTACAGTAAACCCAGCCAACCAAGTTCTCTAATCTGTTCACACTTTGGACACAGCGTGAGGAAACAATACAATAGGACGGTAATACCGTGGGAAAACAGGGAATGTGAAGATAGATCGAACTTTCGCCAACTACAGTAATGCGAGGCTGTCGGTTACAGGTCCGCGCCTTTTTGGTTACTGTGTTTCTGGGATGGGTAGGATTTGAGCATATTCCCAAAATAACGGACGGTTTGCTCCACGGCAATCTACCCACGTCCCTACCCGCGGTTCCGACAGCCTTGTTAGTTATGCGACCCAATTCATATTCATATTTTTTCCAAAGTATTTCTTGGACATTTTCTTCCCATCTTACCCCTCACCCAATTAACTTTTTAGGCCACCAATAGAATTTGCTCACGATATTGTCACCACTTTCTGTTGAATAATTCATAAATTATGCCGAGGGAGTTCTCCCCTTTTTTCATCCCAATTTGAAGTCATTCCAAAAAAGTTAAGGGATTCCTAGACTTTTGCATTTAATCGTTTCATTTTAGGGATCACAGAAATAACAAAAATATCGATTAAGACATTTTAACCAATAGTATCAGTGTGAGACAATGTGAACGTCTTCAGGTGACGCTCTAAGATAGATATGATAGAAAAAGAAAGGTACCCAGATTTTTAGGTCATACATCATCACCTACTTAACTCTAACCCTGTCACTCACTGAAAAGTATCCACTTCAACCAAATTTCAGTAGCAGCAGGTGCACAACGTGTCATCATTCAGAAGTGACCAATTCTAAACTCGTCGTGACAACACAATTCAAACTGGAGAGATTTGTGCCTCCTGGCGCCCCGATCTCCGGAATCAAATCCATTGGAAACATCTGTCCTTTTCTAGGGTGGACATTTGTTGCAACAAGTCCCCTCAACACTTTTTCGAAATGGAGAGGACTAAGGAGAAGAAGAACCACCAGCAAATTTGCATTTTAATGTGATTCGAAAATGGTAAAGGGGCGCGAAAATGCAGAGTGAGTGTCTCTTTTTTCTTTTATGAGGTGAACTAGGAAGGGAAGTAACTGAGGAAGAAGTCAATGAGTCGACTAGGATTTTTTTGAAAACTACTAGGTTTGACACCGACCTACCGTAATCCTTGAAGTTGAATTGGGAGAAGAAGAAGGAAATGAGGGAGTGAGGAGGACGCCCGATTGTTTGACACTTCAAAAGGCGTGAGCACAGAGCTTCACTTGGAACCTCTAAGCTCCGCCCACTAAGGGGAGGTGCCCCATAAATTGGAAAACAACAATGAGACAGATATCTCTCTAGCTCTCGTTTCTCTTCTCTTCAGAATCTTGTTCTTCGTCGGAAGGTACTACTTGCTCCAGAAGACGAATGGGGTGGTGGTGTGTATGTGTAACGAGTAGGTGTCCCAAGTCTCGTTCTCCTTCTTTTTTTTGATGTGTGCCGAAATGGGTTCAGAATATTGGGAAGTCGAGAGTGAAAGTAAAAAGGAAAGGCGTGTAAGAGATATGGGATTTGCAATTTATGGCACCAAATCTTTCCTTTATATATTTTTTATGTTTGGTTAAAAGAAAAACGACAGGAAGTTGGGAAATTGAAACAACTGTTTTCTGGTTTTCTAGCGAATAAAGGCGAATACTATTTTTTCTAGCGAATAAAGGAGATCTTTTTATGAGGCACATGCTGTGGAGAATGCGGAAAAAGTTTAAAATTTAGCGTTTCACATTCCTTCTGGCTGGATTCTAAGAATTTCAGACGGGGAATAATACGGATGTACGGATGAAACTGTCTGAAAATTTTAGGCAATCCGAACTTTGAAAAAAATGTGTTCCTGAAAAGTTGGTTCTCATTTGGGATCACCGTAAAATCTGTAATAGAAGGGCCTCTAACTTTTGCCTTTTTGCCAATTTATGACGGTACCTGTCGAAGATTTAAAAAGTTGTAAACGGATAAATTGTTTATCATAATATCACAAACATTTTATCAGTTGACACATTTTAAAAATCTTGCAAAGGAGCCAATAAAATGAACTAAAATTTGACAGTGCGAGAGCCCTTCTATTTCAGGTTTCGCGATTTCTTGAATTCCGAAACAAATCTCGAAATAATAGTTTCATTTTA